TTTTGCTGCTAAAACATAACGTCTAAATTGTTATTTTTTAGCATTTTGGAGATAAAAAATTAAAATAAAGGGGGTTTTAGTAACTTTATCACGTTATATTGAGGATAATTTAATCCTTTATGATGTTGGTACGACATGCAGTGATTAATTAAAAAGTAATAATTATGATATTTGGTTCTAAATACGAACTTTTAAGTACATTTTATTGTAGTGTACACGCATACAAGTACCAACAAAATATGTAACTTCTAAAAATGTGCTTAGTTTTAAAATAATATAAAAAATAATTAATTTTAGTAATGAAAATCATCTACTCAAAAATTAAAAGCATATGATTAAATTTTTTTGTGTGCTTTTTCAAATATGGATACAAATTTAACGACTTGTAGTGTGTTCTTATAAGGATGGACAAATTTATAATTTTTTTTTTTAAAGATGGAACTGCATTGTGTTTCTTATTAATGCCTTAATAGATTATGGTAAGTTGTAGAGAATACATGTGCCAAATTTCAATAACATAATAGCGGTTGGTAAGTTATGAAACAAGAAAGAAATTGGCAAAGTTAATAAAACTACCTGTATCTCGGTTATAAAGTAAGAATGTTTGGAATCATATCAGAAGCATAAAAAAACTAAGTATTAAAAAAAAAAGAGTGAAACTTCTTAGATTAATTCACTCTAAAATAAAAAAAGACAAATAAAATCCGCGTACATCAATATTTATCGCACAGCTACTTGAATATACTATTAAGGTTATAACTCTAAACGGCGATGCACGAACGACGATCGTTTGCAGTCGTTTTTTTGAATTAGCTCATCATATTTTTTATGTATTAACTTTGATTTATATAAATTTATTTAAATTTATTTAAATTTATTTAAATTTATTTAAATTTATTTAAATTTATTTAAATTTATTTAAATTTATTTAAATTTATTTAAATTTATTTAAATTTATTTAAATTTATTTAAATTTATTTAAATTTATTTAAATTTATTTAAATTTATTTAAATTTATTTAAATTTATTTAAATTTATTTAAATTTATTTAAATTTATTTAAATTTATTTAAATTTATTTAAATTTATTTAAATTTATTTAAATTTATTTAAATTTATTTAAATTTATTTAAATTTATTTAAATTTATTTAAATTTATTTAAATTTATTTAAATTTATTTAAATTTATTTAAATTTATTTAAATTTATTTAAATTTATTTAAATTTATTTAAATTTATTTAAATTTATTTAAATTTATTTAAATTTATTTAAATTTATTTAAATTTATTTAAATTTATTTAAATTTATTTAAATTTATTTAAATTTATTTAAATTTATTTAAATTTATTTAAATTTATTTAAATTTATTTAAATTTATTTAAATTTATTTAAATTTATTTAAATTTATTTAAATTTATTTAAATTTATTTAAATTTATTTAAATTTATTTAAATTTATTTAAATTATTTAATTATTTAAATTATTTTAATCTATTATAATTTATTTTATTTTTTTGATTTGTTTTATTTTAATTTATTTTAATTTATTTTAATATAAATTACAGTCATCGTTCACTCACCCATTGTTGATACACCTTGTATTAATATAGATGCATATATTATATATTTATTAAATAGTTACAAAGAGTGAATGCATTTAAAAAACTTGTTGGCTCTGTGCGAAACCCAAGAAAAAATTTTGGCAGTTAATGTGTTAACATAAAATAGATCTTAAAATGAAAATCCAAATATATCTAAAATAAATTTTTTGGATGTCACATAACCTAGTGTGTAAAGTTCTAATATACTCGATGGTGGATGTCATATAGTCGGGTGAGTAAGTTTTAATATACTGAATGTTGGATGTCAGACAGTCGAGTGAGTAAATTCTAATATACTCAATGGTGGATGTTAGACAGTCGAGGGACTAAAATATTTAATATACAAAATATACAAAACCAACTGACGCGAGCGCCACCTTCACATCTATACACTGGAACTAAATATATACATAAAATTGAAAATTAAGCATTATGACATCCAGCTGAAATTTTTTTGGCGCTCTTTTAAACCTACTTTATGATGTTTGAACCCCAAAAACGTTGTGACATCCGAATTTGGATGTCACATCGCAAACGGATGTCATAAAGATACCAACATTTTTGCGACATGATGTCACAAAGTCGGCAGGACGAATCTATATATATATATATATATATATATATATATATATATACAGGGTGGCTCACGCTCAACGGGACGGAGCTTTATGGGAAAAGGACCAAAGATATAAAAAATTCGTTTGGGAGGAATACGTAGGTTACAGACGGCTACAATTTAAAATTTGTTAGATGTATACAGGATGTCCCACATAAGAAAAAAAAATTAGTTCATTAAAAATTATTCAAACAAGAGTAAACAATTAATTTCTGGGAGACTTTTTTTCCTTAAAAATTCAAATAAATCGAAAACTAATAATAATAGTAATAGGGAACCTTTAGTTAACTGACATTATTTTTGATGTAGTTTTTAATTCTAAAATAAAAAACAGGGTGTTCCATTAAAAATAATATAACTTTGTATATTTTCTCTTATGTGGGACATCCTGTATACATCTAACAAATTTTAAATTGTAGCCGTCTGTAACCTACGTATTCCTCCCAAACGAATTTTGTATATCTTTGGTCGTTTTCCCATAAAGCTCCGTCCCGTTGAGCGTGAGCCACCCTGTATATATATATATATTTAGAGGGGGGGGTCCGATGGGTTGAAGCCGAAAATGCATCAGAACATACGAAAAGACGGATCGTTTTTTTTAGTGATAGAAATAGTTTTAGTAGTAAGAGATATACTGAAGCTAAGTAAAAAAATAGTCTGATTAATCTGTGAGTATGGATAATATATTTGGCAAGTGCATAAAATACACTTTCAAACGAGTTATGCACACAATTATTTCTACGACCACAATTATTTAAAAAATGTTCCAGGTGTTTTGTATATTAAAGTGTACGCATAGGACACATAAATAAAATCATATATCACAATGTTTCACCTAACCAGTTAGTTTATTTATAGAAATAAAACATAATAATTGAAGGTATTACAGAAGAAAATAGGGAAATAAATTGCATTTCCTTATACACTTTTATATAATAATTATTTTATTTAGAATTCACGAAACATTTATTGCTCTACATTAATTATAATTATTGTTAGTTTCGTTATGTCAAATCATTTATACTAGAGGTGTGAGGAAAATACAGTGAACTGTGGAACGCCAATATCGTTGGATGCTAAAATCATAGCTAAATTTTCATGGAAACACTGTACTTTTGACATTTGCAATACGCCGATGCATATGAATTATTGATGTAATCTCATGATTTTACAGTAATAGTTTTTGCAATTTTAGTGTGATTTTTAGATTATTATGGTTATTCATTTTATTTGGTTTTGATCTTTTGCGCTTTTATAGTATTTGTCTTTTATAGTTATAGTTTTTAATTTGAATTTTAATATTGTGGTCTATTTATATTTGATTGCTGCTTTTCGACTAGTGCTTTATTCTTTTACTGTTAAAATAAGCTTTATAACCATTAAGTACATGCTTCTAGTTGATATCTACCTAATCGTCATCGGGTGCTTTCAACAGTGGGAAAAAGTGTATGTTTTTTTTGGTGTAAAGTTAGACGCCTTCATTTTTCTGGTAACTTATTTTTAGTTATTTTTTACTTAAAAAGATAGCAATACGTCCTGGTTCGGGGTGTGACTGTTGGGTTTTAGCTATCTGAGCCAAATTGTCGGCTAAGTGTCCTCTTTTGGGGCATCCAGAACCGAAAACTATATAGTTATATAATATGTTTTTTTTTAATTATTTTTTAATAGGTATGCAACTTGGATGAGGGCTTTAGGAAGAGAACCTAGGACTGAAACACTGACTGCTATAAATGCCGTTTTTAGATCACATTTCATAGAAAGTGATTTCATTCTAGCAGGAACTAGGAAACGTTTAAAAAACATGCTGTACCAGCTATAACTTTAAGACCTCGTCTCTTTAAGTTATTATTACTTCATTCTAATGCATATATTAAAATGGTTTTTAACTTGTGCCCTTATGATTAAAAGATGTAGGTATTTTAGTTATGTTATAATAGAAATATATGATACATTGTATCGACCTACTGGCCACTGGTCATTCCACTTTTACTCCCTTATTGGGTTTCTACCGCGGACACCAACGTTCATTCTTCAAAAATTTTGTAAATAATCCTATCTGTCTTGGTTATATATCTATGATGCCTCCCATGCTTGGCTAGCCAAATATTCACCGCATTCGGCCAGTAAGGATGCCTTCAAAGTCTGGAAAGCCAAATATGGACCATATGCGGTTTCTGCTTCTAAATTACGTCCTGGCTCAGAAGATACCCCGACAACGGCAATTCGAGTACTCGGCTTCCCGTACACGTCGGTGAAAGGCCGAGCAACTGCCGACTATTTGTGGTTTATTGGGAGTCCCGAACAGAGAAGATACCATTACGCCATCCACACTACGCGCATCGACGACACCGTTTCAAAACGGCTAGATTTAAAACCAGTGATGTGTAGGATTGATTATTATCGAAGCGATTAGTAACCACAAGCCAATTCACTAGCTCGGCGGTACTGATACTGTACACAAGGGCGGCTCCAAGACGAATTTTCGGAGGGGGCATTGCCTTTAGCTATTCCTTTTTTAGCATTTTTTTAAAAAAAGGCACATAAATCGGAAAAATTTTCATCTCAGGGGGGGGGCGTGCCAGGTTGTCTCCGACAGTAATTTCAAATGTGTTTTAATGACATGGTGTGCAAAATTATTCCATTTAAGAAAGTATGTGTCAAGTATAAATAACGGATAGTTTAGAAAAATGAAAGCAGAACGACATAATTAACAGCTCCATTTTAATATAAACTCTTGATAGATGGATTTAGATTTAGGAAACAAATAACAAAATAATTAATGAATTATATAATAATTACATCGCTAAGCTTCATTACATTTTCATTACAATAACTTATACAATATAGTTCAAACAGTAAAGTTTTAAGTTTCAAATAACAATTATAATCGTTTTTACAAATTTTTCTAATTTTTATAATATCACAGTCATTTTCTAAGTTCATAAAATATTTACATACTTCCTGATTATCTTCTGCTTCTAACAGTTTCATGGCATGTTTTAGTAAGGTTTCTTCTAGCAAAAAGTAGAAAATATCAATGTGTTCTCCGAGATTCAATATATTGTCATCTAAAAAATAGTGAAACAATCGTTTTTCAAAGGTTTTCGGAAACTTGTCTGTTAAAAATTAGAAAAAAAAATATGCCTTGGAAATCCCCAATCAAATCCCAAAATTTTTTTTGAACCTTCAAATTGAAAACAACTTTTATGCAGTATTTTTTTTCCTTTGATATTAATTAAAGTTTTTTCTTTGACATTAATTCAAGTTACACTTTTTGAGCGTGGTGACCGATAAGAAAACAATTTTTTTCTTTTATTGAATAAATATTGTTTAAAATATTTTTATTATCTTACAATACATGTACATTATTCAGGAATTTGTATCATTGAAACTATAGGTTTATGGTAACTGAAATAAGAAACATAAGTTTAAGACTTGATATCCTCTGAATATCTGGAAAATATCGCGTCAATGGTGGTTCCATATTTTGTTGTGGATTCTTGTGGATCATTATTCATTTTCAAATTCAATTTTTCCGAAATTGTGTCTAAAAGAGATAGAATCAGTTAGCAGCTAGTCTACACGCATACGTCGTCGCACGCACAAAAACACCGTGCCGAAGTGCCGAACTGTAACGACGTTAGACGATGCACGGCTTTCAACGCCGCACCGCTGAGCCGGTCGGAGTGAAGGGTATTAGGTTTATTTTCGTTACGGAAATTTTGTTTCGATTTTTTGATTTTTCGATTTTTTGATTTTTCGATTTTTCAATTTTTGGATTTTTGGATTTTACGATTTTCGATTTTTCGATTTTTCGATTATTCGATTTTTCGATTTTTCGATTTTTCGATTTATCGATTTTTCGATTTATCGATTTTTCGATTTTCTTTTATTGAATAAATGAGAAGTTAATATTGTTTAACGCCGCACCGCTGTGCCGGTCGGAGTGGGGGGTGTTAGGTTTTTTTCGTTACGATCGTTACGGATTTTCTTGATTCGGTCGCCGCACTCAAAGCCCGCGATAAAAGCTATGCAATAGCTTAAAATCCTGTCCACTAGGGATTTGAACCCACCTGTCCGTGTTCTACCCACACCTCTCTTACCAACTGAACTATATCAGGGACATAGTCACTGACTTCCCAATTATCCAACTTCGTTTACAGAATTTTATTTTTGTCTGCATGCTGACACATGTTTTGCCCAGAAAATGCTGTTTAATAGCTTGTTGAAGAATTTAAAATTTTTTGTAAACAAGGTTGGATTCAAAAACTTATATTCATCTAAACAATTGGGAAGTCAGTGTCCATATCCCTGATAGCTCAGTTGGTAAGAGCGGTGCACGTAGAACACAGATAGGTGGGTTCGAATCCCCGTGGAAAGATTTTTTTCAATTTTTCATTAAATTTGTTTTAACTTGGAGTTTTAAAAATAAGTTTTATTATTTTATAAGGGTAATTTTGGGATTTGTTTGGGGATTTCCAAGGAATTTATTGTCTAAAAAATAGTTTAGATAATTTTACCAATATAGAAAAAATAAATGTTGAAAAGCTACACTTTAGAACAAATATTTAATTTATTATTACATTAAATCCAACAATTGCTTTTATACTTACTTTGTGTCGACCAGATGTATTGAAGAAAATTCCTTTCCGTTTTAATCAACACTTTATATTTTGATATTCTATCAAAAATCCTTGTCAATATATCAATTTGGCCAGTGTTAAGCATTGCATAAGCAAACTTGATTTGTGTATCTCTATCTTCAACACTTTTAATTTCTTTTTTAATAATGTTTGAATCAAGGGAAGTACCTAAATGATCGATTCCTAATATTTTGTTTATTAGATTTTCATTTGGTTCAAAAGTATATTTTCGTTTAGCAACCAACTGATACTTTTTGTTAAGCTTCTCCTGCTTTTTTTCATTTATGAAGTCTAAAAATATTAAAGAGTAAAAAAAATTAATAGTATAACAAAACAAAATAAGTTTACCAATTTGTTTCTGTTTCTCTTTTTCTCTAGCATGTTTCATTGAATAATGCCTTGAAAATTTTTCTTGAATATTATCATACTTTCTCAAATCAAGAGCTATTTCTTTAGCTAGAATTGTAACTGCTTCATTTTCAATATTTGGAAAATAATCTTTCACTTGCTTTACACCACATTTCATGTAGTCTTCATATTCATGTTGATCTGGTATTTTACATACAGTATTAATGAATTTCTATAAAAAAATGCGGGGAATGCCTAGTAAAAGTTTTTGTATAGACAATTTAAAACCTACCAATACTTGATATCTTTTAGAAGTACTTGCACATGATTTTCGTTTGTAAGACTCATAGATAATGTCAGTTAAATTTCTTGCAACTACCTTTACAGTTTCAGATTGCTGTTTGGGATAATCAAAATGATAACCCTTGGTTTCTTCATTTTTTAGCAAAATGTTTAAAACTCCAGCCTCTGTCATCCTAAAAGTGCTTTAAAAAGTTTAAAATACCCCTAGCCCATGCATGTCCTATTAACAATCATAGAAAAATAAAAAGTTAACAAATAATAACAAATAACAAACAAAAATGTTAGGTTAGGACGTTCTTCTTTCTTTTTTTATGGACTGTGTTATGAGCACGTGGCCCCACATACTTTAACTACTCATTGCGTTCGGTCTGCCAAGTTCCTTTAACTCCTTTAACACTTTTAACTCCAAACGACCCTTTTATCGTTCGGTTTAGTCCACATACTTTGATTTTCTTTTACTATACGGAGAATGATCGCACTGCGCAGCTTTCTGAGTGCCTTTAAAAAGGAGATAGAAAACTCCGCCATTTTGAACCCTTATTACGTGTTGCCTACATCTTGGCGCAATATTTTTAATAGGTGCGTTTTAATCATCCGCTTCTGCTTCGGAATTGTCGGTTTTCTTGTTTTAATCTGACAGGTTAAAACGACTAAACCGACAATTCCGGAAGCAGAAGCGGATGATTAAAACGCACCTGATATTTTGCTTGCTGCTGTCAGTGTCAGTGAATATTATTTTAGAAGTCACAGTTTATTGCTAAAGAATCAGTTAGCTCACTCGGACCAGTTGAAAGTTCCAAAATAACATCCACTCCAGGGATACAAGTTCAGGATACGCAGAAGACTGCTGTTTTATTATAGGCGGTTGTCATATATTGTATTATCCGAGTTGCACAGTGTATAAACTGAAACATTGAGATCCAAAGTGCCGACGCAGAGTGAGCGATCTGATTATTTAGCTGTAAACTGTGTCACAGGGTTCAAAATGGCCGCGCCCAATGTTGGGCGTGTCGGACCTCTCTCTTGCCTCGTATAGTAATCAAAGTATGTGGTTTAGTCCGATTAGTGACAGTTTAACACGCTTAAATGTCATTTAAAAGCACCCTAAAATTTGTCCCGCTCCAGCCCCTGACTATCCGAACTTGCCTACTATACGAGGCAAGAGAGAGGTCCGACACGCCCAACATAGGGCGCGGCCATTTTGAACCCTGTGACCACCCTGTGACACAGTTTACAGCTAAAGAATCAGATCGCTCACTCTGCGTCGGCACTTTGGATCTCAATGTTTCAGTTTATACACGGTGCAACTCGGATAATACAATATATGACAACCGCCTATAATAAAACAGCAGTCTTCTGCGTATCCTGAATTTGTATTCCTGGAGTGGATGTTATTTTGGAACTTTCAACTGGCCCGAGTGAGCTAACTGATTCTTTAGCAATAAACTGTGACTTCAAAAATATTAGGTCTTTTCCTTTGCATTGAAGGTGTAGCAATGAGCTACACCACTTCTGAAAATATCGTTCCATCCATACAATTTGTATAAATGGAACGATATTTTCAGAAGTGGTGTAGCTCAGTGCTACACTTTCGATGCAAAGGAAAAGACCTTATATTCACTGACACTGACAGCAGCAAGCAAAATATCTGGGGGGCTATTTTCAAAGTATGGGAGCACTCATTTCTCTCAAGATTCTCATCAGAAATGTCATACGTCAATGTGGAAACGCTGTTTTTAAATGCCTCGAGGATTCAAATTCTTAGGAGGATATTAATTATCTCTAAATAAACCGTGAGAAACAATCAGTGAGTTCACACTGGCCCTTAGGACCCTAAAATTAATGTTTTACGTTGACGTATGACATTTCTCTCGAGAGAAATGAATTCTCTCAAGAGAAATGTCATACGTCAACGTAAAACCGTATTTTTAGGACTCTTAGGGCCAGTGTGAACTCACTGACTGTTTCTCTCGGTTTATTTAGAGAGAATTAAAATCTTTCTAAGAATTTTAATCCTCGATGTCTTTAAATACAGCGTTTCCACATTGACGTATGACATTTCTGATGAGAATCTTGAGAGAAATGAGTGCTCACATACTTTGAAAATAGGTCGCCAGGTGCGTTTTAATCATCCGCTTCTGCTTCCGGAATTGTCGGTTTAGTCGTTTTAACCTGTCAGATTAAAACAAGAAAACTGACAATTCCGAAGCAGAAGCACCTATTAAAAATATTGCGCCAAGATGTAGGCAACACGTAATAAGGGTTCAAAATGGCGGAGTTTTCTCTCCTTTTAAAAGGCACTCAGAAAGCTGCGCAGTGCGACCATTCTCCGTATAGTAAAAGAAAATCAAAGTATGTGCTTAGCTTGAATCGCGAATAGCCATCTAGTTTAATATCAAGGTCGGTGTTTTACACACATAAACAAAAACTGTCAAAAATCAAAAGTCACAACTGTCTCTGTCACCTGTCACTATGTCGATCATTTTGGTAATTCTATTTACCGATCGTACAGAATCTAATTTGATTTAAAAAGTAACCGGGGATTTTCGAATATTCTCTAAAAGTTTTATAAAATCAATTAAATTGTTTTTCGATTTTTTTTGTGGGAATAAAGTCATACGCGTTTGTGTTTATTTTTTAATTTTAAGTGATGTCGCATATTGGTGGAAAAGCATCAGAACTTCAGTACATTCTTAATGATACCGAATTTATGGTAGACTCATCTGATTTAAAAGCTGGATCAATGAACGATGTAAGTTTAAATTCATTTATAATATAGATATAGAAAAATAAGATACTAACTTTGATATTTAAATGCACTTAGCAAATCTCAATATATTTTAAATTAATTGCTCTTTTGGTTAAAACAAAATAGTACCATTAAAGATCGAGTTTCATAAAAAAGTTTTTACCGTACGAGTGCAATAAATGATTTTTGCACCGTGTTATCTTCAAAATTTTTTTTATTTTGCCCAAATTATGTCTTGTGTTTATATAGACGGCAAAATAGAAAAATAACATTTTTGATATAATTATGTCTTGTAGATTATTTATACAGATGGAAACCAAGCATTTGTAGTAAATGGTCATTTATTGCAAGGAGCAGGTGATTCACCACCAACGCTTGTATTACAGGAAGGAGAGGATATTGGTCAATATTTAATTAATGATGATAAAGGTATCTAAACTTATTTTTTACCTAAAAAATAAGAAGCCATTATGAACTTTGTTTTTTATTTGTAATGCTGATTATTATAGGTGAATTATTAATAGCCAATATTCAAAATGGTTCAATTGACCGACAACAAGAAACCCAACAAATTATACAATATGTAGATGAAGATGGGAATATTACAGATCCACCTGAAATTGTATTTATCAATGATGATGATGATGATGGAATTGCTTCTACTCAAGAAAACTGTACACAATACCAACTAGCTGAATTAATAGATGATAATGTTTTACAAGATGATGAGGAAGAAACAGCTAGAAATGTAGATATTAATAATTTAACACAGCAACAAAATGATGGTGGTGCTTTAGAATTAAATGCTGCAGATTGGTAAACATTCTATTTTTTATTACTTCAGTTGTTTGTGAGAAATCATTGCATCTATGAAATTCAAAATAGTGATCATCCTTATAAATACTTTGCTTGTTATTTATTTAATAAATTTATTATACAGTATGTTGAAGTTTCCACGATTACGCCAGAAGAGTGGTACAGCATAAACAATGCTATTGATTAGAGCAGCTATACTCAACCTGTGGCCCTTCAAGCTGTTTTTTGCAGCCCTCCAAGCTTCTTTGTGCAGCACCAAACACTATTATTAGGAATGACCTACATGTCATTTTTTGAAACAAATTGTCTCAAAGCTTATTAAAACAACATGATTTTTTTTTAGAAAATATGTAAACTAAAACACAATATGAGGCCCTTTTCTTTTAGAAAATATTTAAAGCGGATCCCTATCGTCTTCCATTGTGTTTTATTTGCATTTCAAAAAGGTGGCAACTCTGGTTATCACACAAAAGTATTGTGGCCCGTGTAGCATAACAAACAGATTTATGTGGCCCGATAGAACAAAAGGTTGAGTACAGCTGGATTAGAGAGAGGTAGAACAGTATACACCAGCCCACTAGCGGTAGAGGTGTATCATCTGTCCAGTCAGAAAGGCTCCTCGATTCACCAGAGTATTTATCTCTCGTGCAAATATATAGAGTATTACCAACTAACAAGTCTAGCGTCATTAATATATAATTCACTGATTGTGAGATAGGACCCTTCCAGTATCAGCTGTAATATTAATGATTTTTTTATATATTTAATACATTTGTTTTTTCAAACTATAATTTTAACATTTATAAACGGAGTTGTCAACTAGAAATGTTTTTAATTTGTTGATAAATGTAATTAGATAAACCTAGAAGAGTGGCATGTTTTTAATCTCTTAGGTATCAATACAGTGTCGTAAGAGACGACAATCTACATCACTATGCAATACCATCTTCAAACCTTTACCAGAAAAACCTCACTACTAACAGCGCCGATCTTGAGTTAGATGTCTCTACAATCACAGGCAAAAACCTACTTACTGGCCAAGTCGTCACTTTAGATGGGTACATGGATAAACTTCAAAGGAAAATCAAATCAGTATCTAAAAATTCAATAGCTTGGCAAAGACCTAAACACAATTTGAATGCATTTTTGAATAAAAAATTCAATTTAGGTCTTACTGTTGGTGGTAGACCACTTGTAGGTAAAATAGTATATGTTGGTAATAAAGAACTAGAGGAAGTGGCTCAACAAGACACTGAAATTATTGTTGGAGAAAACAACAAAATTGATGAGAATGAAATTACTGATACAGGTATTTTTTTGTCATTTTATATAATTGCATAATCATGATTTGCTAAATTTCTATTGTTATAGATCTTAATTAAGACAAAAATATTTTAGGTGTACCTGACTCAATTTTAGAAACTTTTTCAAATAACTGTGACCCCAAAACTGACCAAATGCACATTCAGACAAAGTTACTTTCCAAAAAGTCTAATCAGTTCCAAAAAATATCAAAAATTCTATCAGATCTCATGAACATGGTAGATGTTAATAAACAATTGCAACAAAGAAGTATCCGTATAAAAATAATAGATAAATATTGCAATACTCCTAAAAAGGTTAATCAGCATGTTTCTTTTATTAGTGGTTATATGGAATTAAAAAAGGAAAGTACTGATAACAATGAAGAGGAAGAAGAGTGGAGCTTTGTACCCGACACTCTTAAAGCTGATAAAATATCACAAAAGAAGTAAGTTAAGTGTTTAACAAGGTTTCATAAAATACAAATTAGACTGATAGCATGCACATGGCTTCCAAAGAGGCTGTTCGAATGTTTTCACCAGTTCAAAAATTGGGTGAGGAAGAGATTAGAAGTGGATCATAAATATGGATATGAATACATATTGTATCTATTTCCAACAATCCTGAATCAATTAGTAGAGTGATAGATTGCTTAAATATTGCATCTATAAGTTAAGTGCATTATTTATAATTTTTCTGTTTATTCATTGTTTTAGGTATCCTAACAACATCAATCTAACAATAATGACAACATTTCAAAACAATCAAAGTTTGGTACAGGTCATTTTTGATGAGTCAAAAGAGCAGAAGTGCATTCATTGTAGCAAACTATTCAAAAATGAGCAACTGTTGTTTTGGCACCTGAATGATATCCATAACCAATGCGAGTCTTGTAAAAAATTATTTGATAGTTTTGAAGAATTAATGCAACACAAAAAGTTAAAACATCCCCATTTAGGAGAAGGGAAAACTTGTCCAGTTAGAAGATGTAAAAAAAGTTTCAGGAAGGAATCAGCATTGAAAAAGCATTTTGCTGTACATAAGTTGGATGGGTTCAAGTGTCCCACATGCCCCTACAGGTACCAACTTAGTAAAGGATAATCTAAAAAGTATTTAAATTTTCTTTTTTAGTGGAATAAGTGAAGAAGACCTTAAAATTCACTCCCAAAACCATGCAAACAGTTGTGATATTTGTGGTGAGATGTTTGTAAATGAAAACAAACTTAACCTACATAAAAGGACACATTCAAAAAGCGAATTAAGTGTTTTTAAAAAAATACAATCAACGAAATACTACTCTTGTGATATTTGCAAACGTACATTTTCTAGGCAGTCCAATCTTCAAAGGCATATTGATATACATAAAGGGGCAGAGCAACTTTTTAGGTAAATATTGTTTTTTAAAAAATGTATTTAATTTCTCCTCTCGAACCCAAAAATAATCATTGAACTTATATACTAATTTTTAATTGCATTTTTAAAGTAGCCTGTAGAAAATATCTATTTTTGCTTGTAAAATTGCTAGTACTAAATGGAAGATATAAAAATACAGTGTAATCTCAAAAAATGATAGAAGCCAAATTTTTTTTCAGATGTGCCATTTGTGAATGTTCTTATCATTATATATCATCGCTAACTAGACACATTGTCCAGAATCATGTACAAACGCAGAGGCCAAATTTTGTACAGGGCTCAGATGGAATTGAAGTTAACATCTAGTCATTAAAGTGAAAAGAGCTGATTTTATATGAAATCAATCATGAGAAATATATTCCATATCCCTGCAGATATACTTTATTGTTCCTGTCCACAAGTTCTGCAATTTTAAAGAAGATAAATCTAAATTTATACATGTACCTTACATATATACTGTGATGAATTGAAATGACACATAATAGAGCAATTTGAGGATGAAAAACATATCTGACTGTCCAAGGAAATGCATAATGATGATTACATTTAATTCTTTAACCTTAATGTTCTTACATAAGTAGAATATATTGAAGATTAAAGCATCACTTAATCAGATGTAGAATTACCTATATGCACCTTGTACTGTACTATAATAAATAGATAGTATAAATCACATGACTGCAAGATTCTACCAAAAAAAATTAATATAAGATTAATAGAGTGTATTTATGTTAATTTAACAGCTTTGTACATAATAAAATTTAAAATTACTACTAGTTATCTACTCTTAAGTGATTAATTTAAACACCTAATAATATAATTATTTACATTTTGAAGGAACCCAAGCTTCTATTTTTGGCCTGGTTGTAGAATATGGCATGTACTGTCCTGGTGTTCCACTTAGGTTTTCAGTATGTTCTGCCATCCACTTATATTTTGGCCTAGTAGGATCGTTCATTGGAAGGTAATCTGTTTTGTAATGCAACCAGCCAAACCATTCTGCAGGCACTTGACTACCATCATATTCCATGCCTTAAAATAGTATTCAGTATTTAAGTTTTACCAAGTGTAACATAATATCTTGACAAAAAGTAAGTTAAAATGAGTAGGTAAAAGTCTCCATTAATTATAGTTATAGCTACTTTTAAAGTAATTTCTGACAAAAAATAAAGATGAAATAGATATTTATTTGACTGTGTACCTATATAATAAAAGAAATATGAATAAGGAAACAATTACCATACTGAGGGGCATATTCAACCCATCTATTTCTACCATAAAAGTAAGTTGGATTTTCAAAATATTTATTTCCAAATTTATCAGTTCCAACTAATGTTCCTGGTCTTAAATTATCAAACCTGAAATTAAAATGTGTTAATTTCCTAGCTGTTCTCTTTTGGTTAAAAATTATATAACAAACTGGCTTACACTTACCTATAAAGTTTATATAGCGAAGCCCTTATTCCTCCAGCATCTCTAATAGTTCTAAGAAATGTAAAAAATCTGTCTACACCAAAATATTTTATTACCATTTTTACTGTTCACTTGAAAAATATTCAGTCCAAAATTATTTATCTCAAATTTTTCTACTGTCAATTACAGAACACTCTGTCAATGTCAGTATCTTCCTCCATCATTGCGTTCGGTTTGCCACGTTCCTTTAACACTTTTAACTCCAAACGACTCTTTTAGCGTTCGGTTTAGTCAATGAACTGCAGGGGGGTAGAATGCCAATGTACAATAGGCGAGTTCGGTCAGTCAGGGGCTGGAGCGGGACAAATTTTAGGGTGCTTTTAAATGACATTTAAGCGTGTTAAACTGTCACTAATCGGACTAAACCGAACGCTAAAAGAGTCGTTTGGAGTTAAAAGTGTTAAAGGAACGTGGCAAACCGAACGCAATGATGTTGTACTATTAGAACAAGGTGCGACTCGATGGGCGCAGCCATTTTTATTGTGTATCTCACTCGGGACTATTTATAATAACCATTTTCTGTTTCACATTGTTATTGTTCAATCCACAAGCTGGTGGATCAGACAATAACAATGTGAAATAGAAAATGGTTATTTTAAATACTCCCGAGTGAGATGAAAAATAACCTATCTTCGCCCATAGAGTCGCACATCAAGTCTATTGACAAGCATTCTACCCCACTCCAGTTCATTGGGTTTAGTCCGATTAGTGACAGTGGCTGCGTTCATCCGCGCCATTTCAAGGAGCGCTACAAAAGTAGCGATCACTTACGCTACCTGATCGATCTTTATGCACGGATGAACCATGTTTAAAAGTGACATTTGATTTTGGTTTATTAATTTTACTTTTGAGTTGAATGTCTCTGGTTGAAGATTTGTTTGTTTATTTTTCAATTGCTAATATGCTAATATAACCCTACTAATCACCAAGCAAACCGTGGACGTAAGTGCGTAAGACAGATCAGTGATCACCGATCAGACGTAAATAAAATGCGCTACTTTTAATGGCGGCTGCTCCTTGAGCGAAATGTCAAAATACACCGTTCATACGTGCCACTCGAGAGCGCTACCAGATCGATCAGGTAGCATGTGGCGCGGATGAACGCAGCCAGTTTAACACGCTTAAATGTCATTTAAAAGCACCCTAAAATTTGTCCCGCTCCAGCCCCTGACTATCCGAACTCGCCTATGGTATTCAATACGTAATAGGTTCTTTCGTTCGCTATTGGTGTAGTGTCCACCAGTGTAAATTACACCAGTTACACCACCTTATTTACCCTAATTTACTTCCTCCTTATTCCTTATACACATCGTCGAGTGTAATTCGCTCCTGCTAAATAGCTGGTGGAGAAAATATCCACCAGTGTACACCACATCGCCGACAGGAAGGTATAGTGGGTTTTACACAGGACCAAACGAAAGGTATGGGTGTGGGTTGGTGTAGTTCATTACTACACCCAACTACACCAGTGGGACGAACGAAAGAACCTAATGTATCGAGTTCGCACATAAGAATCCGTGCCGGGATTCTCATCTCTTAGTTCGGTACGTGTTGAGACGACTATCTTCGTTCCGCAGAATGCGATTCGTATGTAATATCTCTCTCTCTCTCTATTCAATTAGTTACGTGTTGAGTATGCACATAAGAATCCCTGTCCAGATAAAAACTTCATACTGGAACTATACATCCGAACATAGCAAATTCCTGACATTTTTTTACCGTTTTTGACGACAAATGTCAACTTTTCAGTGTTGACATTTACAGTTGTGTGTTGTAGGTAGCAGCAAGTTCAAAAATCGATTCATAACATGGGCGACATTAATTTCATACTCAATAAACCAATTACCCGTTAACCCCCTGAAGAAAATTAATGCCTCAAAGCTACTACAACCCTTATTTTGGAAAGATGGAGGATGTTAGCGATATATCTGGCGAAGTTACCGTAGTGGATGTATATGACATTGCCTCTGATATTGGAAAGGAATGTGAAAAAATAATAGACCAGTATGGAGCTGATGCTATGACTTCGTTAATGCCTAAGGTAATTAATGCTCTTGAGCTTTTGGAAAATCTAGCTACGAAGAACGAACGGGAGAATAGCCTGCTACATGAACTACAAGCAAAAATATCGCAGCTGGAAAATGACAAGCTCGAGAAAGCAGAATACCGTAAGAAGTTTGAAAAGGTTTGTAAGATTTTTTATTTGTTTAATGATAGATCAATAATCAACGTTTGTCACCAAAGTAGATATTCCTTTAATTTCTTAAAAACTATCAATGATTTACAAAAATACATTATAGCTCTCGCTTTGACCCTATGTATTTAAATCGGACTATAAATGTATCATTTTGTTTCTATTATAAATAGATAAGAATTTTTTAAAGATATGTCTTTTTTTCCTTGAGTGACAAATAGCTTTTCATTATTTTGAGGGTAGTTGCTACCCCTTTAGACCATATGTAAGTAAAGAAGACCAGTCTCATTGTGTTTCCAATAAAATTATCTAGCCTAGCCCTTATGTGGTAAATTACTTATATTTTTGATAAAGGCATAATATAAAGGTATAAAGATGACTGGGGAAATCAACCTTGTTGCCTCATTTCATTATAATATATGCACATAAACAAGAAATGTATTAATCATGAAATATTAAACTGGTTTTAATTACTCATTATATTTGTCATTGAACATATTTGTAAGTTGTTTATGTTGTAAATGTTTTTGTCCTGAAAATTAAATATTTTCATCTTTACTTGTAATTTCAAAATAATGCATAATCATGTGTTGTCATTGTAGAAATGTGCAAATTTTACCAATAATTAATAAGCTTGGTCTAACATATTTTAACACCCTAACACTATAATGATTATCATAATTTATAGTAGGATATAAATCAAAGAATTATAATTAATTAACTACCATTCTTATATTATATAAAAAAAAGTAAAGTAATGATTTATAGGAACTAGAAGTAATTGAAGAACAATGGAGATCAGAATCCAAAGACCTAGTAGGTATGGTCTCTAAACTTCAAGAAGAAAATAGACGTTTGTTGAAAGAACATAGTCCAAATCACACTCCCTCAAATTTGATGCCAACTACTGAAAATGACATATTGCAGAGACTGAAGAATTCCGTAGAAAAACAAAGAGATGAAATCCGTTTTAAAGAAAAATTGTTACAGGAAAAAAATGGTGATGTAGATAATGTAAGAAAAAGTTGCTTTAATCTAATATTACTTGTGTTTTATATCCTGACACATTTTCAGCTAAAAACTCAAGTGGAAAGATTGACAAATTCTAGCAAAGAATTAAGAAGGAAACACAAATCAATGCAGTATCAAGTGAGAACTCTTTGTGATGAAAGAGCAGACTTTCTTGTACAACTACAGGACCAACAAAGAGACATATCAGCATTAAGACAACGACTGGGTTTGGCACAAAAGGAAAATGAAGACCTAGTAAATGTAAATATTTTATTAATAATATTTTTGTATTTACCCTAATTAGGCATTCAAAACAAAGGTCCATAGACTATTAGGTTGCCTTGCAACTTGTGAGCGGGGCAAAAGTGATATGTCACTTAGCGTGCCAGATTTTGGAATTCCCAGGGTTCCCTCTTATTATTTAATTGGGTTTTGAATTTATTCATTTGTAAAATTGTTTTATTGTTTGTATGGGTATATATTATTTTTTTAATCGCCTTTGTTATTCAATTTTACTAGTGTGTGCCTTTTTCATAATTGTGGAATATTAATATTAACCAAAACTCTTGTGTTCTTATTAGGAAAACATTAATATTGTGGCAGTGTGTTATTTTTTTTAAAGTAAAGTTTTAATTGAGACACAAGTACTTAAAAATACAAATTTTCAATATAAATGATTTCTCTTGATTTAGATGCCCTGTGGAACAGTGTGTAGTGTAACCATCGGCAAAAATAATTCCAAAAAATTAAAAAAGGATGGAGAAAATGTAATATTTTTTACATACCCACAAAATTCACATAAACCAAACAGAGTAGTTTTCAAAACAACAACGTGTTGCCTTCATTTATTAAGCATTTGTCTTGGAGGTTTAATAGACCTTCTGAAGAATGGGATAGTTTATTACCTACTCAAAATATGTTTTTAATACAAAATGATTCAATAAATAACCTTTTCAAATACCTCTCGTCCTTTTAAATTTTATCTATTAATTTTTAGATTCCATACTCAAACATCTTTATTTTAGGGAAAACCACTCAAACTGATTTAATATAAAATCACCGTCCTGCGAACTCTTGATTTTATGAATTCGTTTATTTCGTGGTTTTTCCAAATAAAGACGATTTCGTGAAAACTAAAAATTTAATCGATAAAATTTGGAGGACTCATGGTATTACCTTTGATTATTTTTAAAGTACTCTTTCATTTATTTTGCTTAAATTGCATTAGAGGTTAATCTATTTGTACATAATTTAGTATAAACCTTTAAAAATATTCTCTAATAAAATGCCAACAAGTAAGTGTGTTTTAACATTAATTTATTATATACATTTCAATACGGCATTGTTGAGACGCCTATTTTCGTTCCACAGAATGCGATTCTTATGCAATGTCTCTCTATTTAATTCGTTACGTGTTGAGTTCGCACATAAGAATCCCTGGACTAGAGTTACCAGGCAACCTATAATATACGAACCTTGATTCAAAACAACATGACCTTTTGACAGTAAAAATGGTGAACTGTAGGCAGACAAACTACAAAATAGCATTGACTTGATTAGTGTTTAATTTTGTTTTCCTGGCATTCATCTTAATTTGGTGTATATTATTATAATGTTTAATAATAAATTTGAGCAAAACAATGTTTAATTTATAATATACTTTTATTAAGTTTTGTGGGTAAGTTCATATATGGCCAATGTGAAAATTGAGACTTATGTTAATTCAGTTGTATTTATTGGGTGGCACAAAATTGATCGAAAACATTTGATCAAATACATTTGATCGAAAACATTTGATCGAATGCATTTGATCGAAAAAACATTTTATCGAATAACAATTGATCGAAAAGAAAAATGATCGAAAAGAACAATGATCGAAAAGAAAATTGATCGAAAATTGATCAAAAATAGATTTGATAGAAAAAGCAATTGATCAAAGAATCAAATATACATAAAATTGTAGAGAAATAAGAAAAAAAAATTAACTAATTTACCTAACCTTCGCGGCCTAGAATCATCACTTATTGTTTCGCAAAAACAAATATATAAAAAATGAAAAAAAAAAAATCTAATTAACGTACCTAACACACCTAACTTGTGCAAGTTAAATTTAAATACCACGGGTTAAGTAAATAAGAAAGTTTTTTTTATTTTTCACATTTTTTTATAATTTTGTTTTGCGAGGCAAACCGCTACTGCTCTAGACCGCACAGATTAGGTAAGTTAGTTGTTTTTTTCATAAAAAACTTAACTAACCTGTGTTAGAGCAGTCGGTTAAAATTAAATTGCTCCAGGCTGCACAGGTTAGGTAAATTGGTTGTTTTTATTTTTCTTTTTTTTTTGTATATTTTTTTTGCCAAGCAACCCTCGAGGGCTCCAGGCCGCACAGGTTAGGTAAAATAGTTAAAAATTTTGTTTTTATTTTTCTTAGTTTTCTATATATTTTTTTTCAAGGTAAACCGAGACGGGTCCAGGCCACACAAGTTAGGTAGATTAACTAAATTTTTTAGATTAAAACACCTAACTAACTTATGCGAGAGCAATCAGTTAAATTTAATTAGCACAGGTTAAGTTAGGTTTTCATTTTTTCTCATTTTTTATAAAAAAAATTGCCAGACAAACCGCATAGGTAAGGTAGGTTAGTTATGTTTTTTTTTTAAAATAACTTGTGTGAGAGCAATCAGTTAAAATTAAATTGCTCTAGGCCGCATAGGTTAGGAAAATTAGTTTTTTTTTTTTTGTATTTTACTATTTTTAATGTTGATTTTCGATATATTGTCCTTTCGATAAAATATATTTTCGATCAAATGCCTTTCGATAAAATGTATTTTCGATCAAGTTTCGAATTCAATCAAATATTTTTCGATCAATTTTGTGCCAACTGTATTTATTTAACAAAGAGATGGAACTAGAAGCAGAGAAAATTTTATTAATACACGACACACTACTACTATTTTGCCACAAATATAATATGTACATTGTACATCATTAATTAATATTTTAATTTGTATATATGCCCTCTAAAAATCATGAATTTTGATTTAATTGTTCCTTAAATTCACTCTACAAAAATTCAAACATGAACTAAAAACCTAAAACACAAAATTATTATTAAATAAGGCAACAACATTACTTCACTTTACATTTAAAAAATGCTTGCAACATTTTCATATTTGATTTTTCTATTTGTCAAATCATCTAATTTGAGTACATGTAACCATAATAGTCTTCTGTCTGTATCTGTAACGTGTGGAGGGTGGGTTACCCCCACGACACTTATGCCTCACTAGGCCCATTGTGCATCCTCCTAAGATGATGATCACCTTCTAGCTCGTTAGCCAGCCTACAGATTTAATGTAGTTGACAACGTCGCCAAGAGGTGCTTCTCTTATATCGGCCAGGGTTGCTGATACTCGCTGAATACAAATCTCCTAATAAATGAGAGAGTTGAGCAATCGTAATGGATATGCTCGATGGTCTCATCTTCTTGTTCGTACCTTCTGCAGAGTGCGGATTCTGACAGCCCCATGATATGGAGATGCTTCCGTACTTGGCAATGGCCAGTCAGAATGCCTGTGACTAGGCGCAGATTCTGTCTAGTTATAGTCAAGTATTTGCTGCAGTGTTGTCAGGATAACTTAAGAGCTCCCTGGCTACTTTGAAGTTTCTTGTTTCATCCCATCTTTCCTTGAATTTCACAAGGGAATGTTCTTTAATTAGGTCTGTCACTGCCGATTTTGTCGGGCCAATAGAGGGGCCAGGTCCAAAAAGTATTTGGTTGACTGCTTTCTTGGCTAGTGAATCAGCAAGACGATTACCTTTCGATGTGGCGTGACCTTTGATCCATTGTTGATGGATACTTCGGCCAAAGCTTTGTGACATTCTAGTACTAACCCTAATAATAAATAATTTAAATGGGTTGTGTGTAGAAATGTTGCTGCTGTTGGAAGTTCAAAAAAGAGAAAAATATCATATCGGAAATACTTCACTCAAATGTAGTAAACATAAATCGGTCAAAATGCTTTGTATTTTATTTTTATTAAAAACTTTTTTTTTGCCTTATTATTTCTAGTACTATATTTCCAATGTCTTCAAATAAAACAAACAACTGTAGCTAACACGTAACACTAAGAGTTACACTGATATTAGAATTAGACACTAAAGAGTATTTTTAAAAGGCCTAATTCACATGGAAATCAGAAAATTGGAGAACTTTCATCTTGATTTTTTTTTTTGTGTTTGTGTAGAGTGACATGCCAATGCCAAGTAACAAAGCTGTATTTGATCTGGATGATCCAAATAGACCAAGATTTACAACTCAGGAATTAAAAGATATATTACATGAACGAAATGAGCTTAAAGCTAGAGTTAGCGATTTAGAAGATGAATTGGAGACATATCGGCCAAAGAAAAAGGCAGAAACGTAAGTAATTTTAACATCCATTTTTCGAAAAAGGCTATTTAGAGAAAGAGGAACACCTTCACAAAATAAATTATTTCATTTTTGTTATTTTTTATATTTTTTTATTTTTTGTTTTTATTACTTTTTGTTTTTTATTTTGATTCCTAGATTAAAAAAACTTATTCCTCTAATGGATAAAATAGAAATGGCTTGTGAAAATTTACTAGGTTTACAGAGTTCAGAACCGCCACCTTGTTACTCGTAAGTTTTTTTTTTACTTTTATTAGTTGATTTTTAATTTTTTATATGAATAACTATTGGAAACAATATTTTTAGCCCGGTAGATGATGACGCTCCAGTACAAGGTCCCCTTCCATACGAACCTGATGATGCCCCTTGGAAAAAATCAACTGAATCTGGAATCAGGAAGTTGTAAGTGTTTTTTAATATCTAAAATATAACATATTTTCTTTTAATGGTCTAAACATTATGATCTGCTGAAATATCTACAGGGCATTCCAAATTTTATGATTTACAGTGATTCAAGTTCAGGAGAAAATGTTCGCACCAAGCAGGATCTGAATCTGCGCCCTCTGGGTTGTCGTCTCAATGTAATAACCATTAGACCAGATCGTTTACTCAAATTAACATTATATGGCCCATGTCTAAACATTTTTGAGTCTGGGATAATTAAAAAATATCCAGAATTGATACATATAGTTAATATTTGAAAGTCATAAATATGATCATATTTCTACTAAAGAAAAAAATGGTTAAATTGTCAAAATAGAAGAAGTTTACATTTTGTTTGTCCCAGTCAAAAATTATTTAAAATGAAGACACCTTCATACTTGCATAAAAAACTAGCAGAACTTAGAACTGATATTCATAACATAAATATTCGTTTTAACTCCATACTTAGATTGTCCAGATTTTTAAAAACTAATTTTATTTGTTGTATTGCCTGCAATATCAATAAATTGATAAGAATTAATCCAACATTGGTTCATTTAAAACTGGGAATCTTTAAAAATCGATATTAAAATATTCTGATGTAGACAACTATTTTTTTTTTCTTTCTTTCTCTATCTTTTTTTTTTCATTCCACTCTAACATTGCCTTAAACCTTTTCTATAATTTTAACTAACCATCTCAATAAGCATTTTTTATATCATTGGAAGACCATAGGAGTAAAAAATATTTGTGTTTGTTTTCTCAAACTGTTCAAAATAGTTTAAACAGAAGCAGAAGGGCGTGTCCAGCTAAAATAGTTTATTTATTTTGTCTCAGCATTACAAAAATATATTTAGACAATTTAAAAAATATATTTCTTCAAATAGTGTATTTAAAACACTTTTGTTTATTCACCTATGTAAACATTTTCCTTATATTTATTTAATTAAAAATCTATTATGTATTAAAATATGTAAATCGAATTTTTAAAACAGAGAAAAATGTAATATTGTTTATTTGGAGACATCAATAAATACATGCTTTTTCAATATTCTTTCCCATTTTTCTTCTAATGGCTATAAAGTTTTTCATTCCTTTACACTGATTGCTATTTCCAAAACCGACTTTGATACTTCCATCTTTAGTTCTGACACCTACAGTATTGATATGTTGTTTGAGATGCTATTTTCACTCCTTATGAAAATTACCCTATATTCATGGACGCTAGGTGTGGATTTGCCTGGAGCGCTAGCTTCGATATCGTGCGCCATGGCCCTATTTTGTATTACTATAATACGTAAGTAGCTTGTGAGGAGAATAAATCATCTTAGCTGAAAGAACAGAGGAGTTAATGTCACTTCAAATGGAAATAAAAAAAAATGGATGGTTTTTAATTTGTCTCTTTCTTAACAATTAAATTACAATTAATCACGCCCATCCTGTATATTTAAAATTTGTAGTTCTGAACCCTTTTTAACTCACTACGAGCGATGGCATCAACAGGTATAGGCCTCAGCACTTCACACGTCCCTCGTTAAAATATTAAAATATTTCTACTTTCGCATAGTATTTAACAAAGCTTTCGATGCGATCTAAACAATAGTTGTTAGTCTGTGGACAATGTGATTTATTTCTCAGATGTTTGTAACTATTATTTAATTTTGACGATATACGGATTAAAGTAATTTGTTAGAAATTATTTAGTTCGATGTTGTATTCAACTGTTGGCACAGAACTGGCCCAAGAACTGGGTCGAAACCTGCTTATCCTACTTATCTTATCTTATCTTCGATCTATTTGTTTGACAATATCCTCGAATACCAAATATTCGACACCTCAGAAACTCCTCTTAGGGTATCTTGAGCATTAATCTCTCAACTGGAAATAACGTTCTTTACGGAAATTATTAACGTCGGTGTTGTAATCAAGTATAGGCACATATAACCCTCAGGAACTGGAACTTAACCCACAATTGAATAGGTCTTTCCACCTTAGAATGACGAGGTATCTTAAGTATTGTGCCTTCAAAGAAATAATATTCAATGTAATTGGCGAAAATTATTAACCTTACCCATAGATTCGTCGCTGGATAGGCGTAATTCCTATTTAACTGTTTTACAGGAGATACAATTAAATTTTTTGTGTATAGTGCATTTAATTTCTCATATTATGTTAACTATAAGAACGAGAGATAAATTGGGCATTTTTCGACCTACGCTTCCTTGCCTTTTCATATAAAATTAATGACGGACTAGTTAGGTTAGGTTGAAAATGAGCGGGATGGTCTCGTTGCCTTCCCCTGCGACTTATAGTTCACCGAACAAGCCACACCTTTTGATGAAGGCCATTGTCGAATTGGATTAGACTTGTTTAAAGTCGGTAGGCTCCAGTCGGATAAATCCAAAGATCTGGAACCTGGTTCTTTCCAAAGCGGAGCAAATACATAAAATGTGCTCTGCAGATTCGTCTTCCATTCTGTGAATCGAGTGTCAACTCTATTGGTGCTCAGGGCCTTGAGTGCTGTTTGGCTATCCGAAAAGATCTTTATAATATTGTTTGCGGGGAGAAAATTAATCAACTCTGTCATTTCTGCTTGGAAGATCGTGGCTAGAGAGCCTAGGTTTATTGATATGTCAACTCTTGGCTTCTGGCCGAAAACTCCCACTCCTACTCCTTTTTCAATTTGGAGCCGTCCGTGTACACTATTGAAAACCTTCATTAACTAATAGTACCTCACTTAATCTAATGCCGAATTTTGGCAAAATTCAGAAATATATAGGCGCAGATAGGAGACTCGGTTTAGGTTCGTTATTGTACGTGATTTTGCTAGGAGTCTTAGACCATCGGAGATAGCGATTTTGGATCCTAAAAAATTAAATCTGATTTATACATATGTTTAAAAACTTAGAATTTAATTTTAAGATTTGAATAATAATAATTTTCTGACAAATTCTATGTTCCCAAATATTAAATAAAATAGTTGAAATTAAGGCTAACAAATAGAGATTGATTGATGTTTGTTTCCCTACTGATAAAGATGCAGCAACAATGCATAGATTCTAATATGAAGTATCATTTTTTTTTTCAGTTTTCGTAAGCTCTTTTCCGAGGGCAACAATGGAAGCAGTTTTCCTAAGCGTAGTCTCTCCACACTGTCTAAGATGGCTCTGTCTTCAACTAGCGAACCAGTTTCCATCTAAATATCCATTCTCTTTGTGCAGTGCTATTATTGGATCCTACTCGATATTAGAAACAGGTTATATCCATCATGCCATATGACCAGGGATGATATGTAGATGGTAGATGTATGTAAGCACAAATCTAGAGGTTATTGCAGTGGCGGATTAAGGTTATTTAACCTTTAACCTTATTTTAACCTTGAAAATATATGGATATTGTTATCCACATGGAATGGGAAATGGAAGTGGTCATGGTAGAGGTTATTTAATCTGTGAACTTCATTAAAATGAAGAGAGGTGTAGGTAAAAATGTGACCATATAAAGGGTGCTACATAACTAATGTGACATAGAGTAACCACATTTTATTTTGATCAAAATATGAGGAGACCAAATATGTAAAATATAAAATGTATTTTTCTCAGTTTTCTCAAATTTCCATTAAAATTCGTGAAATTACGATATATTAAGATTATCCTCACAATTGTTTATAATTTATTGTCAATTTTTATTGTGCATAATCCTTAATCCACCACTGAGTTGTATTTGTGTTATTTTTATCTAAAATAAAAAAAATGTGTCGAAAAATGATCAGATTTGCTAGTCATACCTACAACAGACTAAAAAAAATATTTTTGAAAAGATAGGGAGTTCCTTTGAATTATTTTAAAATTAATGTACTAAAGCTTTCAAGCATATATATTAAATAGAGAACAGCATTGCATAAGGTTTGTTTGGTATCAAAGGGAAAGTGTTGCAAAGCCAGTGTATATAAATAAATTCAATACATAATAAAATACAATATTTAAATTTGATGCATCATGTTTTACTTACTTTTATTTAAGTACTAATAGTAAATAATAATTATTTAAATAACATACAAAATTAATTGATTTAAAAAAAAATCATCAGCATGTAATTAGTTGTTTTTTTTTTTATTTCAAGGAAGTATTTAATGTATTTCTCACGAGTGGCGTCATTCTAAACTTAACTAAATGATTTGTAACCTGGCTAAGTGTCAACAACATGCGTTCACGTGAAATTTCGGCTGAAGTTACAGATGGCACCATCTATTGTACCCTCTTCCTATAAATGAGGTCATTGCATCAAAGCTGCACTGCTTAGAATTTACTTTATATTCAAGTTTAAGAGCTTATTATTTTCATCAAATATATTGTTATTCTTAAACAATGTAAGAGACGCTAATGGCTATTTACTTTGCTTGTGAAATGACAGACGTAATGAAAACAACGAAAATGCAGGACACTAATGACATTTATTTTCCCATCTGCATCAAAACAAAGTTCATTTGGAAGCTGACTCTATGTAATATATATGCAAGAAGACTAATGCGCCCAAAAAAAAAAAAAAATGATTTTTTTTTTTCATTCATTAATGACATTTGAGATTTTTTTATTAAATTCTTGTATTTTACGAGATACGTCAAATTATTTTTACGGATGTTTCGTCGCTTATTAGGACATCTTTAGAGCTAAAATTTAACTACTAAAAATTATGTGGATATTTTTCATTACGATTTTTTAAAAAGGGAATTTTACCCTGGATCGCCCTGTACTTTTGAACAACTATAATTTTCAAAAACAATTGCTCTCTAAGCAAGTTGATTTAAAAGAAAATGTATTTAAAATTACATCAAATCTCATAAAGGTAGAAATACCCTTGTTTTAATATTTTTATGGAGGCCTGTTGAAATTTTAAAACTTTAATTCATAGATAAGCCAATAAATTGAAGATTTAAGCAGGTCCTTTCGCCACCAATGTTAAATAAAAAATATTAGATTATGACTAAAATTAATTTTTTTCTAATAGTTAGATGTCCTTATTTATCTAATAGTGAACTTTTAACTATACCTTACCGTGCAAATTTTTGAGAATTTTTTTTTTTTAAATGTGTGTGTTTGTACAGTGTCTTATGAGAAAGTAAGACTTCAACAACAATTTTCGAATTATAATTAATTTTACTATTATATATTGATTAGATGGAGTAGAAAAAAAACTAAAAATAAGGTTTTTGAAATATTTAGGTTTTGTTTTTTACAATAAAATATATAGGTTACCGTGGAATTTATTGAGAAATTATTATTAAAAAATGTTCAACTAGGTTACTTGAAATTTTTTTGTAATTTTTTAATATTAATTTCTCAATAAGTTCCACGGTTTACTATATATATTTTATTGTATAAAACAAAATCTAAATATTTCAAAAACCTTATTTTTAGTTTTTTTTCTACTCCATCTAATCAATAAATAATAGTATAATTCGAGAATTGTTGTTGAGGACTTACTTTCTCGTGAGGCACTATACAAATACTCACATTTAAAAAAAAAATTCTCAAAAATTTGCAAGGTAAGGTATAGTTAAAAGTTCAGTATTAGATAAATAAGGACTTCAACTATTAGAAAAAAATTAATTTTATTCATAATCTAATAACTTTTTTTTTTAACATTTGAGGCGAGAGGTGTGGCGAAAGGACCTCCTTAAATGAGTATGAAGTGATATAAATAGCATTTAAAACCTCATTATTTGTCGAATTACCTGAAATGATATCAAAAATGATTTTGATATTTTATTTTTCCGAATAAAGTTTTTTTCTCATTAATTTTGTACCTTTTATATTATTAACAATGTTTGTGGGTATTCTTGATATTTTAAATAACGATGTGGCTAGCTATCCGTCGGCGGTGGATGACAGATAAATAAGAGTTCCGCCGTAAAAATTACTGTATCGAGTATGGGAGGCGGAACACAATACATTTTCCGTCAGTTGACGAATTTAACTGTAGAATTGCTAAAACCCGCCGAAAATATTTTCAAACTTCTGGCAAGTTTTCTAATTTGTTGTACTCGAACTCAATAGAGTCATTTATTTAAGTACAAAAAGATACTTATAATGTATATACAAACTTCTTTTTTGTTTCTTCATGATTTTTTTATGACTTCTTAATTTATCATGATTTTTTCGTGATTTCTTCATGATTTAATAATTAAGATACACTTTTATATAGGTTGATAATAAATCTGTCAGTTTTCCGGGTATCTATGTATGTTTTTTTTTTTTTTTTTTTTTAATAAATCAATAATAGTGTTGTTGCAAATTTCCTAATACACTAGGTAAAACCACATTAGCTTAATTTTCAAAAGTATTGCTAAGAGGCGCCGACACCAATTTCATTTATAACTGCAAAAGCTTTTAGACGGCTGCTTTATCTTATGTCTTCAAACCTACACAAGTGCTTTTACAACATAGAGCGAAAATGACAGGTTATGTTCGGCGGCGTTTCAGTGCAATACAGAAACATTCCGCTTAATGGCGGAAAACGTTAGAAAATAACTCATAAAAATAATATTTTTATCAACGGACAATTTACTTGAATGATAATCCGACAACCGGCGGATTTATTGGTTTGTATAGTAGATTGCCGCTGACGAACATTTAGCTACACCGTTTAAATAAATCCAGTTGAACGTCAGATAAAGACGGGTTATTTATTAAACAATGTTTATATATTCATTTAGTGCCAGTTTTGACCAGTTGCATAGGTTTTTAGAAATGGACTGCAAAAGTGCTCTTATTTTATCTGTCACAGACTTGTATATTCTGTTTGTAATCCGAACCCTAAATTTGTATATTGGGTCCTTAGATTAGGAAAGCGAGGGGAAGCGTAACTCCAAACTCCAATATGTGACTGTTTGGCATCAAATTTTAAATACAGGCAAAATATATCTTTCTATTTCCAAGCTTTAGACCATGGCGTAACCAGAAATTAGTTAAAAGAACAATCTGTCGCTTTTAATAACCCAAACACTATTTCTTTCTGGATATATCGGAGGATATCTAAAATAGACAAATACTAATGAAAATATGTAATTAAATTCTGTGAAAATATATAAACTCTATTTTACAATAACTATATATTAAAATTAGTCATTGTGTGTAACGCCACTACCACTAAACTTTACTGGGCTATTGAAGTCATTCCGATAATAAATCAAGCATTTTCAAATCAAAATTAATATGCAGTGTCGAAATATGACATGCAATGTCATTTCTACCCAACTATTTACAAGTTTAAATAATACCTAGAACATATGAGCCACACAAACATAATCACTAGCCAGCCACTTGATATTAATCACTTCGTATTTGTCAATAGTTTTCAGATCAAATGTGATATTAAGGGAGGGAGGGTTGTAATTATTTTTAGAAGGCAAGCTCGAAAAATTGCGATTTAGTCTGGATATTTTAATTAGAATACGTTTTTATTAAATAAAGCACTTTTAAAGTTCAATTTTATGTCTACCAAAAAGCGGTGTAAATATTGGATCACACTATGCAGTTGGTCAAAAAAAAATGCAGTTATATTAAGAAATGTTTTATACGCACGTTTTTATAGATTTCAAATTATATTCCACTGTTGTTGGTATACTATGGCACTTAGTAATGTAGTCAATACGCCATACTGTCTGAATTAGTTGGCCTATATAATTATATTATGCAAATTTATTTACACATGTGCAATGTAGATACTTAATATATTTTTATTTTATTGTTAATATGTTGGCGTATTTTTTGACTGTAGCAGCGACAATACACACATTCGAATTCCAATTTTTAGAAAGCTTTACTCATATATTCGAATTATTTGATTCTAAATATTAAATTATACATTTTTTTAAACTGTGATAAATTTCTCGTAATACGATTTTTTTAGCACTTGTTGGTAAGTTTCTTCCAATATTTACTCAGTTGACAATCGTAATATTTAACCCAAAACCATGTAATAAATAACTTTTTATGTTATTTTGCATTTTTACACCCTATATAGTTTTTAAATCGGATTGGGAACACAAAATAAGAACCAAGGTAATTGTTTTATATGATTTTTATTTATTTGCAACTAATCTGTGAAAGGTGCCAAAAATAAAGTAAACTTAAAACCAACTGTATTTTATTATTTATCTAGTTATTTTTAGGAAGAAGAAAGACAAGAGTTATTTAAAAGATAACACAATTAAAAATACTTTTTTAATTTGGCTAATGTTTGTTCTTAAATTTACGCTATTTTAATACTTAGTTTATCATCCGTCTTCACAAAGCAGTTTAGAGAAAAAATAGAGTTGGGCGATATCGTGTTCTTTCAAACACACTGAACTGTAACTGTGATTAGTAAAATTTAAACAAATTACGTTGTTTCGTCCAATCATTGACAAATTAAATTTTTAAACATTGAAGAAATTTGGTAGAACATGTAAACAATGTCAACTTAAGGATCTTTTTAAATAACAGTAATTAAATAACCGTCAACGAAATATTATCCAACCTTATTGGAGATTAATTCAAGTTTGCCTATGTAATGGAGGCCCATCACGCTCCGATAAGGCATGCAGGACAAAGGCGTTTACATCTGATAGAAGAAAACTTCATCAGTCTTTCATCGATACCGAAGGAGAAAAGTTTATAGGTGCAGTGTAGGGAGTCTTATTAAAAAATTGTTAGAAATATGGCTGCCGTTTTAGTTGTAGGAAGAAAAATATAAAATTATTTAAATACAGAATCTATCCCCACAACACAAAGGGGCAATCCATAAATTACATCACACGTTAGGGGGGGAGTCGACGATGTGTGACAAGGGGTGGGAGGGATCCTAAATTTTGTGACATCACATTTCAAAAAGTATCCCAAAATTTGAACTATTAACGAAAAATTTAAAAATATTTTTAATTTATTAAAATCTAGATGTGAAATTGAAAAATATGTAACGTTACACTAGAGAGTGTGAATTCTCTCAAATGTGACAAGGACGGGGGGATAAAAAAAATCATGTGACGCAATTTATGGATGGTACCTAAGGTGAAAATAAACCAAAGAAAAATGTGCTTAAACCTGGGATCGAACCTGGACCTTTCAATTTACTCCTTGATAAATTTACGTTTACCAATTAGGCTACCGTAGCACAATTCTACGACGGTTGAATTGACCACATCGATGCATTGGTGGTTTCTGAAGGCGAGTTCGGATAGTCAGGGGCTGGAGCGGGACACATTTTAGGGTGCTTTTAAATAACATTTAAGTGTGTTAAACTGTCACTATTCGGACTAAACCGAACGTTAAAAGGGTCGTTTGGAGTTAAAAGTGTTAAAGGAACTTGGCAGACCGAACGCAATGTGAGAGAGCTGAGGGAGGGACCAATTAGAGTTGTAATCTGGTGTCTTCAAATTTGCCATTTCGACCGTAGTAATGTGCTCCGGAGATATAGGCTAGATCACTGGCTTGGACTTATTTCTGCTTTTCGTTCCAGCTTTTTTAATTGGTGTTGTTTTTACCTTGGGGTTGTAGGGCTGGATTCTTTAATTTAGTAGAGGGAATTGGGGTTTTTATTTGCACATTTCCAGATGAATTCCACCCAAAGCTAGATTAGCCTGCCACTTTAAGATATTTGGCAACTGGATGACTACAAAACAAAGATAACTGAACACCACTGCGCTTATTAAACCCAATTTGACTGGTAGGAATTTTTTTTTATGTTTAGAACAATAATTCGTCAATGGAGTGAGAAAAAAAAATAGTCGTCTCAAACGAAGCACCCTAGGGCCAGGGATCTTGCCTTCCGTACGAAAGACTTCAAATCTCAGATGGAGAAAAATTTAATATTTTTTTTTGTTTATTTTATTTTATAAATTAGTAGAAGTCATAAATTATTTTCAAATTAATTATTTTATCTTAATAACCTAAAATAATTTTTAATATTTGTAGATTTTCGTTAGTGGGTCGTAGAAAAATATAGTTTACAACTCGAGTGGATTGTCCATATCGCACTTAGGCGATTAAGCACTCCACTCTTATTGCACAAATTACTATTATTTTTAGTCAATATTTTTCCCCCTAGGACAATAAAAATAAATATCAAAAACATGTCCTTAATTACTTATTTGCGACTCACCATATAGGGGAAAATATTTTTTGAATCCTGTATATATTCGTGAAATATCAAAAATTAGGTACAATAAGATAAATTGCCACAAAAAATTACAATCAATGGGTTTAGCTTTCTCTTGGAATAACCGGTAACAAATAAACAGAGGCGGCTTCGTGGCCTAGTCTACGAGGCACACCCTATATACTTATTACAAATACAATGTAATATTTCTATTTTTTGTGTTCTAATAGAATTATATATTTTTATTATAGGGTGTGCGTTTCAAAAGTAGCCTTCTCGTAGACTAGGCCGCGAGCCGCCTCTGGAAATCAGTGCTATTTCTTAAGTTTGGCATCCTAAAAACTTCTAATAGACGCAAATAAAATATAAAATAAATATTCTATGAAAAAATTTATTACAAATTTTACAAAATAAACTCTAATTTAACAATTTAGTTCTAAAATGAATTGCTATATAAGCAACAGCAATGGAAAATACAGCAGCCAAAAGCTCGCAGGATATCCAAGGACCTCCATACACACCAGAATGGTTTATCTTCAGAGTAGTAAACACAGGAACATTCAAGTTACCTTCGCCGGCTCTAATCGCTTTTCTAAGTGCTAAATAACCGGTGTCGTTATACACTTTAACATTAATAATTCCAGTCTTTGCGGTTTTTACCTCTTCAGTCCAACTTATTTGGTATTTTCCTTCACCGACAGAAGCTACCGGAGTTATTGTTTCTCCCAGCCAAGCGTAGAAATGTCCTGGGTCTCCAGTTTCGCATTTCACGTAAAAATTTGAAATAAACGCAACCGCTTTTAAAATCGTAGCATCTTGGGTTGTATACGAAGTTGAAACTATCTGAGGATTATAGCAATTTTGCGCACTGGTTACAATGAATATTAAACTAATTAGAAATATAAATATCATTTTGATTTAGAGGACATATGTTTAAGATGTGCGCGATCAATAATTTCGGAATACGCGCTGTCGTAAACGTCAGATTGTACAATGTTGCCAATAGGAAAGGCGTATAAAAGGCATTATAAAAGGGGTGGTAAATAGCTTACGAAATGAATGATTTGTGATATCGATTTTCGTGGTGTTCCTAATTCAAATTTCCCCCTTTAAACTAGACTTACTCCAAATTTAAAGGTAGAAATAACAAAATTTGGGATTCCATTTTGGGAATAAAATCTGCCGCACAGGTCCCACACGCGCCCTGGCTAGCTAGTTTACTTAATTATTGTAACCAGGGCAAAATATGAAAAGGAAGAATAAGTCCTATAGTAATAGTCTCTCATCTGAGTGCACAAAGTGGCTTTTGTTGTGGTTTTTGCTTGCTGTTTGTAGTTAGGTACAGGGGAGGGGGTAACAAACATGTACTATGTCCAGGTGGTGGAAGCTGTTGTGTAACCTATCAAATTCAAAATGTTTCTTAACGTTGGAATTTCTCGTTTTTTTACTGGCAATGAAATATTTTGTTTCTAGATTTCTATAACAATAAAAAAATCACTTGGCCAACATTTTTTACCGTCCGGTTTTGCTACTTTTGGTATAAGTAGGTATTTACCTACATCGATAGTAGCAGAACTGGATGACAGAAAATGCTTACGAATGGATTTTTTTATTGTTATATAAACGTCTAGAAGGAAATTATTTCATTGCCAGCAAAAAAACATAAAACTTCATCGATAAGAAACATTATTTTGAATTTGACAGGTTACGCGACAGCTTCCACCACCTGGACATACTACATGCGTTGTTTACCACATCCCCCTGTACCTATAACTACAAATAGCAAGCAAAAACACTACATGCCCCTTTTTGCAGTCAGATGAGGGACTATAAGGTTATACAGAGTGTTAGTATATTCGACCGACAACGATCTATCCTAGAGAACTCGCGTCAATTTATGAATTTTGATATAGGACATAAACCATAAAGCTTAGTTACCGAAGTTTTAAATTAAAATTCAAAATTTTCCATAAATTTAACTTAAAATGAACAGAGAATTTAATAAAGAAAAAATGTTCCAGCAATTGCGAGAAAAATAGTCACAAAAAGTTACCAGTAACCCCGATGGCGCGCCTCTGGTAATTTTTTTCAGAAGTTAGTTTATGTCAAAATATTAATTTCTTAAAGAGCATATTGGTCACCAAATTTGAAAAAATAACATTTAGAGGCGTTTTTGATTTGTGTCAAACTTTTACCACCCTGTTCTCGGTAATTAGGCCCTTCAAAGGTTCATATTAGGGATGCCACCTGTACGGGTTTTACCCGGACTGTCTCGGTCTTGAACAATTTGTAAAAATATTTTTAACATTATTCTAAATGTCCTGTACCAAATATACTTTTAAAACTAATTTTTTATACTAATACAAAGTACATACTAAAAAAATAAACAAATAGGCTCTAGAAAATTTTTCGAATGTATATTTCTTGCTGATGAGTCCTAATGGGGCTGTCAGAATTCGCACTCTGCAAGGTGTGCGAACAAGAAGATGAGATCATCGAGCATCGCCTCTACGATTGCCCGACGCTTTCATTTATTAGAAGATTTGTGTTCGGCAAGTATCGGCTAACACCTGCTGGAAATGAAGTGATTCGCCTTTATATTTTATGAAATAATGTTTAAAAATTATTTGTTTGTTTGTTTAAGAATCAATGTTTGTGTTTTGTGTATTTTAAATAAATATATTTATAAATATCTTTTTTTAGTTTAATAATATTTTAGAAAAAAAAAGCTAGAATACATTTCTGTAATATTACTATTTAATATTTCTAAAAGATTTCAATTTTTATTTCAGAAATATTACTGTGAAATATATATATATATATATATATATATATATATATATATATATATATATATATATATATATAGGACATTTGCTGTATGGGCGAACAAAAGAGTGCCCTAACAAAAGAGCATCTGAACAAAAGACTGTCCGAACAAAACAGCGCCTTAATAAAATAGCACCTTTTGAAATAGCATCAGTTCGAAATGGCTCTATCACGAAATTCAGCCAAACGAAATATAGCCAGTTATTTCAAAATAATAGTATTGTTTTTACATAAATTGATTTAAAAAAGTAACTAATTTACCTAACCTGTGTGGCATGGAGCCATTTAAAATTAAACGATCGCTCAAGATACATTAGTTAGGGTTTTTGTAATTTTCTGATTTTATGTAAATATATATTTTTTTAATCAACTCGCGATAACTCCATACCGCACAGGTTAGGTAAATTAGTATTTTTTATTAATTTAATGTAAAAAAATGTCCCTACTTTTACTGATACTTTTAATAAGCGCTATTTTGACTGAAGCTCTTTTCATACGCGCTATTTCGTGACAAAGACCTAGTTTTTACATTACACTAAGGATAAAACTATTAACAAAATCACACACTACATCGTGCTTTTATTCAAAATTCGCCCTCAAAGCACGAAGTTGCCTTTATTTAATAATTGTGTCTCAAAAGCACAAAGCACTCACAATGTCAAATTCATCAGGCAACTATTTGGACAGGACGTTGGAATGTCTAAATGTAAAATTCGCTGTGTAGTTATACTTTATATTTTGTACTCTTTTATCATACTTACCGCTCAACTAACCTCATGACAACGCGAAGTACACGAACACTCTGTCGACTGCTTACTTTTGACCTGCGATCAACAAAGCTCGAGCATAAGCTTTACTGAACACCATATAATTTGTTTGTCATTGATCTCTTGTTCTATGTAGGCACATAAATACCAGGGTTGGCAGGTACAGGTTTTTTGCACCTAGGTTTTTAAAAAACCTAATAGTAAAAATTCTTTAAATTTAGTTTTTTTTGAGATAAATATTAAGAATTTATAATTTTATTAATCAACTCTCAGGAGAAAGAATGCAATAATTAGTGCGTATGAAAAAAATGCAAATAGGTACTTTATCAAACTTCTCGATGTTGATATTAATGACAGTGACAATTAAAAAAGAAACATTAGGTGAGTTTTAATCATTTATTTTTCACTTTTATTTTTTTTTGCAGAATTTGAGTTTTTTAATATATTAAAACTCTATTTTTCAAGTTTTGCTTGTATTTTTTTGTTAACTTTATTAATAATAACTTTTGATATATATAAACTAACAACCTTTAAAACCTAAATAACCTGAAAGCCTACTTATATATTTTTAATTCTTAGGTTTTTCCAACCCTTATACATGTTTCTTTAATTTCTTATACATTAAAAAAAAACAAATCCAAATTCAAATAAAATAATTCTATTATTAATAAATATTTTTACAAATTTTATTTAGAGAGGTGTTGAATTATCTCTTTACAATCCACTATTTACTTTGATAAAGTCCCGAAGCATCGGCACGTTTGTGTAAATACCTGGATAGCCAGGTTGGGCGCAGTTGAATCCCCATGAAACCATTCCATAGAGTACTCCATCTATAACATAAGGACCGCCAGAATCGCCCTGGAAATAGTTTATAGTTACGCTATTTTTCTGCGCATTTAAAATTAGAGACTGAAACACTATACTTATTTCTCCGCGATGCGAACATTACACTGGTCTGCATTACAATCAGGCCCTGACCCCATTCCTGCCGATTTTTATGTAAAACGACATCCTGAATCCGAATATGTCCCCGTTTTCCCCCATAACCCACCATTGTCGGGGAATCCTCTTCCCCACCTATTTTTATTATTTTTCCATAATTTTATGCCAATGAATTTGATTTGGAGGTGTACAGAATAATAAATAAAAAATGAAATAATCTATACATAAATAGGTAAAGACAAAATAGTTCAGCACCATTTTCTATTCTGTTTGTGAACCGATTTATTTTTTTTAATTTTTATGTAGTAGCTTCTATATACAAATAAGCAAAGACAAAATAGTTCAGATAGGAATCCCGATACCTACTCGTTAATTTTTGTACCCGGGTACCCGACTTCAATACCCGGGTATTACCCGTTAACGCTGCAAATGCTCGTTGAGACCCGTTAAACTCCGTCGTAAAAACCACCACGAATTTGTCTGGTGATTTCTCCCAGCATGCAATTAGCTTTGTCCCAACATCTCACAAAACCGTAATATTACGGCCATCGTCATGCGCAGTAAATAAAAACCTATCAATAAAGTCCAAAGTCGAACGGTTTTTATTTACTGCGCATGACGATGACCGTAATATTACGGTTTTGTGACATGTTGGGACAAAGCTATAGAAAGGTGTCTATCTTTTAGCGCAAAAAACTGAAATGGAAGTGAGGTGAGGGGAGGGATGTTTTTACGATTTACGTAGCACGCACGGCGCATTCGCTACTTATTCGGCAGTTTTGTCGCATTATTTGTGCCGGTTATAGTAATTTGCGTAATTTATTATGGTGCGGGCTAAAAGGTCTTTGGTGTGGGATCACTTCACAAAAAATACATTCGTCGGCGAACACGAAAGTGAAATTAAAGTGCAGTGCAAGTATTGCGACGGTACTTTGCATTATGACGGATCGACGAGCTCAATGATGAAACATTTACGATCGCAGCACAAAAATCTTCAACTGCAGGATGTTGACATCAAGAACGCAGGGCCTTCGGGCTCATCTCATTCTACACCTAAAAGGCAAAAACTCACTGATATGGGGATAACTACTGGACGGCCGTGTAACAACACTCGAAAAGGTCAGATAACAGAAAAATTGGTATCAGTAATCATTGAAAACAATTTACCCATTCATTTCTCCGAGTCAGAATCGTTTCGTGAGTTCATGAAATTTGTGGAACCAAACTATAAATGCCCTTGTGCAGAAACCATTAGGAGTACTACTGAATCAAAATTTAATAATGTACAAAATGAAATCAGGAAATAAATGGAATCTGTTCGATATGTTGCTATTACTACGGATGCATGGACGTCTATTTCAAACGATGCATTATTCTTGCTGTTACTGCCTCTTACTTTAACAAAAATTGGGAACTCAGAACGCCGGTTTTAGCAACTGTAAAGTTACAGCAACGACATACTGCCCAGTACCTGGCAGAAGAAATTGAACATGTAGTTACTGAATGGAATATTTCGGACAAAATATCTGCGATAGTACACGATAACGGTGCAAACATTGCCCACGTGGCAGAAATAGTTAACACTGAATATACAGATGTTTCTTGTACAGCACATACCTACATTGCAATTAGTGATCAATAAAGCAATGGGTACAGATAAGACTGATTCGCAGGCCCCAATTTCTAAGTTAGTGAATGCTGCCAGTAGACTTGTGGGCCACTTTATCCACAGTGCATTAGCTCCTTCCGAACTGAAGAAGAAACAAAAACATTTTGAATCCGCCGAAGATGAAACGGGAGTTGAAGAAGAACCCTTGTCACTTATACAGTACTGTCGCACACGATGGAATTCTATATACCACATGCTGGAAAGACTACATAAATTGAGGTAAATTTTGATTAAACTTTACAGAGTAAGTGAAAATTATAATAAACATGTTTTTTCTTCTGTTTAATTTAGATGGTCCGTGCGTGCTGTACTTGGTGATAGTAACGTAACAAAACGATCCGCAATGCACTTAGACCTGAAGGACGAAATGTGGTCGCTTATGGAAGAAATTTTACCTACGCTTAACATTCTAAAAATCGCGAATACATTAGTTTGTGGAGAAAAGTATGTTACCATATCGGATGTTTTAAGTATTGTAGTGGCACTTTTTGACAAATTTTCAAACGACTCTGAAGACGACAGCGCTGTTTTAAAATACTTTAAAAATGCTTTAATAACCGGATTAAATACACGTTTTAAGGCCATGGCAGTTGATCCGAGATTTAAAGATATAAATTTTTTCTTCGTCACTTTTGAGTTGCGTCATAAAATTTATGCAGATATTCGCGAAGAAATTAAATCTAATAAAAATCGGGAACAGCCACATTTAGACACAGAATACAAGAATGCAGAAGGCGGAGAAGAGGAGAAAGAAAAACAGCGGTGTGAAGAAAAAATGAAGACAAAAAGCAACAAAAAAGAACTTCAGGAATTATTTGGTAATTTTTAATGCAGTTTAATTACTAATTTAATATGTACTTTGCTTATTTAGGTTCTAGTTCAGAGAGTGAAGAGCAGGTACAGGATGATGAATACGAGCGGTTTCTTGAAAATTAAAAGGAGTGACGATCCCATTTCGTGGTGGCAAGTTAATGAAAAGGAATTTCCGGCTACAGCTTTTGTAGCCAAACGATATTTGAGAATACCTGCCACTTCAGTTGAGAGTGAGCGTCACTTTTCCGCCGCGGGTCGAATCGTTACCAAAAATAGAGCTCGTTTAAATCCCGAATTTTCTACAAAACTACTTTTTGTTAACAGGAATCGAGTGTATGCAGAATGCAAATAACATAACTAGGGTACTTCTTATTTCTTAGATTTGTTTGTTTTGTGTATACTGTATAGATGTAGAATATTATATTTACGTTTGTGTCTTCATGGAAATTAAATATTTATTTTCAATGATTGCGGAAATTATTACCCCGAATTAAAAACAAATGAAGCAGGTCTGAAGCTCTATAGATAAAAAAAGATAGAGGGGTTTAACGGGTCTTAAATTCTTAAATAATTATTAAAGGGCCTTAACGGGCTAACGGTTCGTAACGGGTTCTAACGGGTAGCAAAATGTATAACCCGGACCGGTGGGCGTAACGGGTACTCGTCGCCCAGACAGCACACCAAATCCTTTGGATATCTACTGAACATCCCAATATCCACTGAATGTCCAGTCCATGGTGGATATCTATTTTATATCCATGAGCTGTAATTTATAGACATGCAAATGTCCATAAATAATGGTAATTAGATGGCAAAGTATTAAAAAATTACGCTATTGTGGCTAATAGTACCGTTCAGATATTTAAAATTAATTTTTTTAAGGTGTATTCAATATCCCATGGACATCCACTAAATATATCAGTCTAGGCGCGAACGCAAACCATCGTGGATATCCACTAGATGTAATTTTTGATTTTGCTTACTAAGTAGAATCTACTCATGCTCAATCCGCCGTAATTGAGTTCGATCGAAATTTGTTTCACAATCAGACTCCATTAGAGACTGGAGTCGAGAATTTCCATTTATTGCTGAAGAGTCCTAATAAGGGTAACTTTCTCCTTAGTGGGCAAAATCAAAGGCAGAGTGTTGAAAATATTTTGAGTGTTGAAAATATTTTTTATCTCTGCTATTTTCTTTCGACTTTATTCAGTAATCATTAGTTACTTATGAACCTCTACTAAAGATACCTATAAAATATTTTGCTGAATATCCGAATTACTCTATATCCTGGGATATAGACGGACATTTGGTTGGATATCCACAGAATATATTCTGTGGATATCTCTGGGATTTCTTGGATTGTCTGGAAGATACTCATTAGATATTTTGCTGGATATCAATATGATATCTTCTATATTCTGGATATAGACGGACATTTGGATATTCATATTAGATCCACGGAATATTTTTGATATCCTGTGGATATATTGGATATCCACAAAAGATATTCTGTGGATATCTCTAGGATTTGGTGTGTTGTCTGGGCGTCATTCCTAAGTTCAGAACCATTTTCTCTTTTTTGTGAACCGATTTTATTTTTTTAATTTTTATGTAGTAGCTATTAACAAGCTTTAGTGTTATCAATAAAAAAAATTGGAAATAGTATTTTTTTCCCAACTTTCAATACATGAAATCCATTGATCCACAATTATAAATTATGATTAAATAATAAAATTAGCCTATAGCGAACATGAGCACCCTTTAATTTCGAACCAACAAGGACAATATTACATGGACGGGTAAAGGACCATGAAAAACGAAAAAAAAAATACTCCCCCACTCCTCCAACTTCCCCTCCATCTTCCTCTGCCACGCCTAAATGGTGAGTAATAGAAAAAACTAATAGCGGGACCATAGGCCGCGTTTAAAACGATTTTAAACTGCCCAACTTCTCTCACCCTCTCCTACTTCTTCTCCCACCCCAAGGAAGGTCGATATAGAACCGCCAGATTTAGGAAAATTTACTTCGGGTACGATGATGGATTGGACTTTATGACGAAAAAATGTTACCCTCCCCAAAGGAGAAGTTACCCCCCTCCCAAGTATGTGGGGGATGAATTCACCACCCCTCAAGTGTAGGTGGAGGTGAAATTTTTTTTCATAATTCGGGTATTTTGAGATATTGATTGTACAGATAATTAAAAAATTGGAAAAAATTGAAGACTAGTCCGACCTCCTTCCATCATCCCTTTATTTTTCCTTTTCTGGGCTCATGATTATTTTTTGTATGACAGGGTGTAAGCTGAATATAGTGGGTGTTATCCCACACCCAACCCCCCCTTTTTTAGGGTCCTTAAGAGTAAATTCAAACTAAATGTTGTCTTTCATATCATATCAGTAAATGAGGGTTTTTAAATTGTGAGTCACTGTTATTTTATTGAATTTATTTAATTATAATGGCACTGAACTGTGGTGTATTGTAAGTACATGGTCTGAGATACACAATGAACGAATGTATAAAAATAAAAAATATGTTAGTAACATATGCAAGCGAGTATGTTTTCCTCAAATTTTCAATAATGATTATATGGTCGAATTTCAACCACTGGGCCAACACTAGTAAATATAAAAAGTTAAATAAGGACTCTTGCTATATATTTTTAGTATTTGGGGGTGGATGAGAGGCTTTGGAAGCTTGAATATCTAGAAAATAGAAGAAAAAAACGGAAAGGTAGATCTTTTTTTTTTAATTTAAGAGGGCAAATCCTCCAAACCTAACTCATTGTTGCAAATGTTTTAGAACTATTGACCTCTCCAGTCCCTCATAAGAAATGTAAAGGTTAAAATAATCCTTCTCATCCTTCTAAATTATCGAAAAGTTATAAAAATAGATGAGGGTGCTTCCCCCGAAAACGGTGAGTGAGGATGTAAGATAGGGGTCATATTTGGATTGAGGAGGTCATTGTAATTATTATTTTTTTTTTTCGTTCAGTGTTTTTTTTTTAATTTCAATAGTTTTAATGAAATGGTATTTTTTTTATAAAATTAGATAATGAAAAACCAACAGTACCTATTTAATATTTTTATAGTTTAGCCAAGGAAACAAAAGGTAAGAACAAACAAATAGATGGTTGGTTCTAAAACTTGAAGAAAATCGATATTTCGATTAAAAATTAGCAGAGTAATTTATTTGTTGAAGATATTTTCTCTTGGAAATCATTTATCTTTTCCAGGCGATTTGTCGAATCATGTATACATATTTTATACTATAAAAATGCTTACTTGACATGAATCTTTGCCGCCTTCTCTATACCCAGCGCAAAACATATTGTCCGTAAGCTTTACCATATTATATCTTCTTTGGCAATAATTTTGGTCTAAAACGGGCAGCTGAACAGTCCTAAGTTGATCTACGGCATCTGGAAAAGCAATACTAAGGCTTCCCCATCCTGACACATTACCTATTTGGCCTTCTTTTATTGGTTCTCGAAATCGTGGTAATCTAACAGGTTGAATTGTGGCAGAATAACTAGAAATGTAAATACATGTTCGAACTCTATTTGTTTAAATTAAAAATGATAACTATGCCGGTCCTATATATACAGAGTGTTTCCAAATTAGCTTTCCACAGAGAACAATAAAAAGCTTATGACTCAGAGACAGTTTAATAGATTCTACTCTATTTCCTGTATGTTGTTTAATAAATTAATAAATAATTACTTGAATGGTGGTGTAAGCTTGAGAACAGCAATGTCATATTCTTCATTGAGAGAACTGTGATATGGATGTGTGATAGCCATTCTAACACGCGATGATACTCCACCTTTGCTCAAATATATACTTCCTGCTTGTACTGAATAAACCCCTGTCTTTGGAAAACAGTGAGCTGCTGTTATCGCTGTTTCTTCGTCTATTAGAGCAGCTCCACAAAGATGTGTACCTTCATATCTAAAAAAATATCACCTTTTAACTTTTAATTAAATTTATGTTAATAATGTACAGATAAGAAATAAGCATACTTTTAAGTATTTTATAGTTTAATAAAAAAAAATACATAAATTTTCACTATTTCAATAAATAAAAAAAAAAATAAAAAGTAACATAAGTATGCAAAGTGGAATGAAAATATTTTCAAATTGAAACAAATTATTACAATACATAATTAAAATATGTACAAAAAACTGTTATTGGTAAAAAACTTAATAAATTGTGTAATTTAAATTAAACTAAGGTCTCAGTTTTGGACTTGATCTGATAATTTAGCTGTTCTTGACGGGCGTTCACATAGTAAGATTCTCTTGTTTCTGATGTTAATGACTTCCAAAGATCTCCTAATCGGACAGAAATACTTTTAAAATCTTCATTCGGATATTCAACTTCCAGTTTTTTCCTCCAATCTTTAGAAAATAAAATAAAAGCATTAACTGGCTTTTTAATAATATTTGGTTTTGTTTTAGAATAATCATTAGAAAGAGAAGTGTTTTCACAATCTTTATTTTTATTAGAGTTATTCATCAGACTATTTTCTCTAGGTAAATCAATGTTTGTCTTGTCATCACTTGAATCATGGGTTTCTTCAACTTTAACTGTAAATGTTGTTACTGAATTATCATTTTCATTGTTGATTTCATTTTGATGGTGAATTGCTGTATTATTTGACTTGATATCATCTTGCCTTTCTTGTATTATTGAAGCATTCAACGTATTTAAATTTGAAATAATCTTTGCTTTCTTTAAAGGTCGAGCCAAGGAATTACTTGCCCTGTTCTTCCTCCCACATTTTGGTCTTCCTTTTATTGGCACTTCTATAGTGTTAGGTACAATTATTTGTGGCAATGATCTTATTTCATACCTAAGATTGCTTTGAATTTCTTCATTTTTAGTACACCCAGCGTCAGGGTCTAATTCTGTTGATGGTGTAACTTTATTTTTTAATTTAACAGAGGATAAGCCTTTTACTTGAAATTTTTCCCCTAAAGACAGAACTCCTTCTAAATCAGTATCTAGTACCTTCACTTCTCCTTGATATAAGAAACTAATAATATGTTTTAAATGAGCATATTTTATTTCATGAAATATTATCACTGGGTGGATTTCTTTCCCAGTTCGAAAGAGGTCCATGAAAAAACCACTACATGCAGACAAAATTATTTTGTGGGCTCTGATCTTTTTATCTTCACAGATAAGAGTTACATCAACCATTTGTTCACTCTGTAGTAGTTCGCTAAACACTTGAGCTAAGTTTGTAAAAAAATTGTTCCATCGTAAATTGTAGTGTTCTCCTTGTGAATTACTTGGAGACAATGAATCCATTCTGGAAAGTTTGAGTTTAATAACAAGCAACACAACAAATAACAAGACACTAATTTTTTAATTTTTTTCAATACTAATAAATAAATTGGGAAGTACAGAAACAATCGATTATATTTTGAAAATGTGAGGTTATGTAAAAATTTAAAATCAATGATTATATATTTATATAGATTGCTCACTATATGTAAATTTTGACTACACAAAGCAAAAGCGGGTCGCAGTGTGAACCCAGTAGGCGAGTTCGGATAGTCAGGGGCTGGAGCGGGACAAATTTTAGGGTGCTTTTAAATGACATTTAAGCGTGTTAAACTGTCACTAATCGGACTAAACCCAATGAAGTGGAGGGGGGTAGAATGCCAATGTACATGTTGTACTATTAGAACAAGGTGCGACTCGATGGGCGCAGCCATTTTTATTGTTCATCTCACTCGGGACTATTTATAATAACCATTTTCTGTTTCACATTGTTATTGTTCAATCCACAAGCTGGTGGATCAGACAATAACAATGTGAAATAGAAAATGGTTATTTTAAATATTCCCGAGTGAGATGAAAAATAACCTATCTTCGCCCATAGAGTCGCACATCAAGTCTATTGACAAGCATTCTACCCCACTCCAGTTCATTGACTAAACCGAACGCTAAAAGGGTCGTTTGGAGTTAAAAGTGTTAAAGGAGTTAAAGGAACGTGGCAGACCGAACGCAATGAGTATATATACCAGTGTGCACTGCTAACCGAACAGAACCGTTCTGGCCCAAATGTGTTTTTAAATAATATTTTTAGCATATCTATTTACAAAAAAATACCTTAATTTTTACTTCAAGACACGATATATTGTCATGTATTTTGAAAACTTGTTCTTGTGTTGTGACTATATTGGACATATCTTTTAATCTGAGTAATGTTTAATCTCAATGTTACTAATATTTTACTAAAAGTCACTAGATTTTTAACATTTAAAGTTTTGTTGCATCTCTTTTGGCAATAATAATTGCACTAAATTAGGCACTTTAAATGGTGAATGCACAAAGCACGTATCCTCTAGAGACCCCAAGCCAATTGCCGCGTTTGAATATCTACATCCGATGCATTTTTTACGTCTCTATAGCGTGTGTTTATCCACATCGGACACACTACTGCTGCAAAAGAAATGCTCTGGTAACATAAGTGTTAGATAAAGAAGGCCATGCATAAGTATGTTTTTAGTTAGTTATGGTAAGCTTATAAAGAAATGCCTTTATTTTAGGCATGGCCTTCTTTACCTAACTAATACAGACGACCGTGTTTAGGAATTCCAAACAAAATGGTTGTCCGTTGGTTACGATATGGCAACCCTGTGTGTTTGGTGAGGATTTAATATAGGGTCAATGCTATAGATAGTTATATAGATTAATCATCCATGTTTTACAAAATAAATATTATGGTATTTTTCGCCGCATAAACGTTTATGATAGTATGTTATTTAGACGTCTATAGACTTGCTCCGGGCTTGCCCAAACTTCAAAATATTTCGGGATATAAACAAAGTGTTATACGAATTCAGCTCGGAAGCCGTACCCTAATCCAAAATCCATTCGCACAATAATATTTGTCTTTATAATTCAAACAGAAAGTGATTCATTTGAAATTTGATGGAAATCATTACATGATTTTTCCATGTCGTTTTGTAGCTTTTCTTTAAAAAAATCAAATTACCGATTTTATAAAAACTCCAATACAGGTATATAGTCCAAAAATAAAAATATAAACACCACTAAATATTAGTAAAATATTGGATTTTTTAAAAAACTAATGTAAGAACCGCAGCAGAATATTTCCTGTCAGGGGTAGTATTCTCGAATCACGAATACCGACATTCACATACGTGTTTTACAATGTGTCTCACTTTGTTGAACGAAAACCAAGTGAGACAAATCATAAATCTCGCATGCGAATCTATATTCGTGACTCGAGAATACTACCCCAGCTCAATTTTTCATTCCTTGACAACCTTCCTTAGCAAAGGACGGAGGAAGAGGCCACCGTGTTGTCTACGAACCGTGATCAAAGACAACCAGGCCCACAGGCCACAGGGTTGCCATTAAATACTTATTTTTACATTCTCTTATTACAAAATTGGTATTTAAACAATTTATAAATTTGATTAGAACAAAAAACAAACAAAACCAAAGATATTTTAATGAAATATTTTTATTTGGAAACTACTTTTTATAATCGAATAATCAATTGAAATCGGTCGCATTTTTCTATTTTGGACACTAAAGGCGCCATTTGTTTGACATTTAAAACACCTTTTGGAGTTTTTTTTTAAATTTCAATAATGAACCCAGTAATTTTTTTTAATTCCGTATTATCAGGTGTACCTTTAATGATAATAATTTCATTTTAGTATTTTAACCAACTTCCGTATAATGTTGAAATTATAAATATTTCCCTACAGAATTTTTAGTAATTTAAACATTGAGACCTTACCTTAAACTAAGTTGATAGGGAAATTCTCCCGCCTTTGCTCTACGACCTCCGACAATTCTTCGACTAGCCCAACAGCACTCTAATGCAACTAAATATTAAATTTGTTTAATATCGTGATTTATATTATATTGGGTAGGTACCTACATCCAATTTTTTTTTATTCTATAGAAAACAGTTAAAAATTATTATTCGTAAATGTTTGTAGGTCCCTAGTTAATATTTTTTGGCATTCTTTAAAAATTTTATTTTTTAATTCGTACCTATACCTAGGAAAAAATCGAAACAAAAGTGTGATTTCAGAAAAAATATTATGCTGGTAGGTACCAAGAAGACATAAAAGAGTAATTAGGATAGTAATAATTAATTTTAACCTTAAAAATAAGGTGAAGGTAATGTAACTAATTATAATTTGAATGTATTAAAATAAAATTATGGTAAAAAAACTTTAGTTTCAAATTGTACTCACATACACATGTAAAAATAAGCCTTACAACCACATTCATACCGTTGTTGTTGTTTGTTCAAGAATATTTTCAGGACTGTCAGATGTTTAAATTAACTGTTTTGCCTTGTAAAAATTAAAATAATTATATATGCGCTGTCAATAGCTCTTATCACTATTTCAGGGAATAATTTAAAAAATATATAAAATAGGTAATTGTATTAATGTATCATTATTAATAGTGTGGAAATGGACTCAAAAAAGATATAGTAGAAAGGCAAAGATAGAAATAAAAATTTAATTTGTCAATTAAGCCAATAATTAATAATAAAAAATGCTTAAAATGCATTTTTTAATGTCAACATCGATGAGAATTTTATTGTAAATTCGGTCCAACTAATGTCTAAATTATTTGACAAAGATAACATTTTTCAAAACTATAATGTATCTAAATGAGATGAATAAATATTTTAGTGTGAACTCAAATCAATTCCTTGTCAAATCACACCATCTTTTATTTAGTTAGGATAATGCTATGATGTGGTATATGAATTACTAAAATAGCTTTCAAATAAAATATCACACTATTGATTAACAACATTTTTCCCATGAGAAGAAATATTTATTACAATAATATTAAGCAAAGCCTACAATAAATGTTAGGCAAAATTTAAGATTTGCGAAATAAAATTAGTTTGACTGAAAATATTTACTGTTTATACTGTTGATTTCCATAAAATATTAAAATTCTGTTTGTAGTTAAGACGCGTGAAATAGATAAAAAAATATAAAATTAAATTATTTATTATTATGTTAATTAGTAAAATACATAAAATTACTATTTATTTGCAAATGTAAATCACGGTTTATTATTTAGCTAAAATATACTGAATATTTTGTCTTATAGAAAAAAAGAAATGTTTTAAAACAAATTTGTTCTACGCATCTAAGTTTTAAAACAAATTTGTTCTACGCATCTAATAAAAATACATTTTTTAGCAGATTGAGGAATTTTCATTGATCCGTTTTCACTCGAAACGGCGAAGGAATTAAATGTTAGTTAAATATCCTATTTGTAGACCAGAGACAACAGAAAATCGTTAAATTAATGTTAAAACGTCAAATAATTAAAATTCGTTAAAAAATAAACGAAACTCTTAATAAAGCACAAATAGTGCAAAACATCCAAAATTGTGTACAATTAAAAAAAAAAAAACTAAAACTTGTTTAATTATAGAAAATATTATTTTACAGCAAAACTACAGCAATTATTTGATACGGAGAAGAATCAATAGAAAACCGTTGAATGGGCCATGTTCACATGTGAGATATGCTGTTTTATAAATTATATTGTAATAGTTAGTCGCTATACAAGTTATTCTAAATAGTCAGTTCGTTAAAAAAGCCAAAAGTTTTTAAATTAAGCCCAATTGAAATTTAAAATTTGAAATTATACGTCATCGGGAATAGACCAATCATCTTGTGTCGAAGTTTTTTTTGTTATACAAAACCAAGCCAACGAACAAACCGACACACAGAATGTCGAAGTGAACGCACATCTAAGTGACATTAAAATTGACACCACCTAACCTTAGTTTTTTGTTTTGGTTTAATTTTATTATTAATATGAATCAGCTGGATTTATAAAAGTTGAATCAAGTGTTTTACCCATTGTAAACGAAAATATGATTACCGAGATGATTACTGCATTTTTTAACAATACTCAGTTTACAAAAGTTAGAAAGGTAAGACTTTGTTTTAATAGTAGGTAGTTACAGTTTATATGGAGCAAGTAAAACATATTTATCTCAGGTTTTATTTTTAGATCTGCCAAGCAAGAATATGGGGATAATTTCTTTTTCCATAAGAGACAAGGAGACAAATTACACCTAAACATAAAGTACGGCAAAAACCTTCTGATGTGGTTGTTGTAATTAACAAAAATGAAAATTTTAGTGCACAATATGCTGCATGTCAAGGTTTGTAATATTTATTATGCTTTTTTGTTTTTATATTACATATAATAAACAGTGTATAAGGAAGGCCCTTTGTAATCGCAGCAAGAATAGGCTATTTTTATACCCTTTTCAAAAATTTTATGCTCCTCGTTTTTTGCAAAACTTAAAATGCTCTATAGCTTCGAACGAAGTCAGCAAAGCACCTCTGTTTTATAAAGTTTTTTCTGTAAAAACAGCAACTTGAAATATTATATTTTTAAAAATACATGGTGCTTGCTAACCTTCGAAAGAAGCCAGTAGAGCAATTCGGTTTTTTTAAAGCTTTTTTCTAAAAACCACACCCCATTTTTAGAATATTTTTAGACTCTTGAAATATTGTAAAACTTTACTAAAAAAATTTGCTATTTTTAAATAATACAGGGTGCTTTGTTGGAACAAAGTCAGCAGGACACTTTAGTTTTTTAATTTGTTTTTTTTATATATATATTATATATATATAAAAACAACTACTTATGACACATGTTTAGGCTGTTTTAAAATCCTAAAAATGTGGTAAGTACATTTGTTTTTAGAAAAAAACTTTGAAGTCAGCAAGGAATTGCGAATCTTTTTTAAAATGCCAAATTTCGAATATTTTATAATATTGTAGGAGCCAAAAAACGTGGTGTGGTTTAAAAAAAAACTGGGGTGCTCTGCTGGATTCGTTTGAAGCTAACAAAGTATCCCGTAATTTTTTATTTTATAATACTCAATAGCCTAAAATGAGACATAGCTGTTTAAACAAAAAATTGTATTTTTAAAAATAGCAGTTTTTTTGAGAAGCTCTATAATATTTCAAAAATGTGAAAATGTGGTGAGATTGTTTTTTTTTTAAGTTTTGAAAATCCGAGGTTCTTTACTGGATTCGTTCAGAGCTAGTAAAGCTCTGCTCGTCTTGTTACATAAAATTAAGGCATTTTGTAGCTGGTTATATAGTTATTTTGTAACTGCATATCTAACCCTTTTATTTTTTTCAGTTGGTTGTAAATATGTGGCTTCATAGAAGAAGTGAGGAACCATCTGTAACATCTACTCAGTGTTATTGGAAAGGCTCTAATTTATCAAAATGCGTAAATATTGATGTACACTTGGCTAGATTGTTAAATAAACCTCTTCATCCACTACAGGAAAATATATCAGTACTTTTATATTCTTAGGATTTGTATATATATTTTTTATTTGTAAATAAATTGTATTTTACTTCATTTTTCTCATTTTTTATTAAAAGGTTAATAAATAAAATTTTCACAGATTTTTATATTTTTGTTCGTAAACAATAATTGAAGAGTTTTTATTAAAAATCACCAATGTTAATAATAATAACTTAAGTCAATATTATTCTTTCTCCTTTTTTAAAGCTACTATCAATAAAGATATTACTTTAGCTTGACCTATGATCAATTTTTAAATTTTGTGATATATTTGGTTCGACAGAAAAAAAATTATAACCCTTTGACATTAGTTGTTTTTACTTAGATTTTCATAAAAAATAAACGGAACTGCAAACATGTTTTACTATCGTAATAACGAATAGCAACATTAAATTTTTTTTTTCACATTTATCACTGTTGTCATTTTCATAAAGGATTGATAAGAAGGCACACTTTCTGTTTTTTTGAAAAAGGTGGCAAGAATTGTGATATTTTTAAATTTATCACCAGTGATACCACATGTAGTTACCCGATTTATTGGAATATATAGACTTTGCTACTACATTCAACTGAACTTGGTTGTTTTTAATATTTATCACTGTGACATAGGCGTTTTTGTCAAATTGTTTCATTTTAAACTGCTGTAAATAGGTGCCTTTGTTTTGGTAGTTTTAGTCCCAAAAAAATCTATGCATATACAGGTACTCATTCCTCTTTGATTTGTTCGAAAAGTTAAAATTTTATAAAAAATTACATTGGCTGTTTAAAAACTCATTATAATCCCTGAAATGTGATAATTAGGTAAATTAAATTAAAAAAACAAACAAAAAAAATTTATTAAATTAATATTTACTCTTACAAAATAGGTTCTTGTAAGTTAACAAGCAATTATGCAGATATTACTAAGTAAATGTACTTGCTTAAAATTCACACACGAATGTGGTTTTAACATGTTAAATTAAATTAACTAACTCTTTCCACATGTATTCTTAGAGATGCTATTCTTTTCTCGATTCTTTTACTTAATTGTATATCTTCTGGAGAACTTTTTTCATTCTGTGATACACTAGGTGTGGCTTTACTAAAGTGCATCCCATGTTTTCAAGTAGCTGAATATTCTGAAACCCCTATCTGCCATTATATGGGATCCAGGAACCAGTTTGTTTAAATACCCACATTTTTCTATTATTTCTTTATCACTAGTTCTTCTACAAAATGATGAATAAATTCGGTATCTTCAAAACTTTCAGGAGATTCTGCATTTTCTTCCAGAAGGGTTTTTAGGTTATTCACCTAAGAATTTATAGTAGCCTCATTTTCAATTTCCTGAAGGGGACAATTAGCAGAAATTGCTGCTATATCTTGATAATCCGGTGTATTTTTATTAAAAAGTTTACGAGAAACATCGCTAGTAGAAGGTTGATAATCTTCTTTCCAAATTTCTAGGAACACTAATAAATATTTTTGAAGATGAATGTGAACCATTATCACATTCTGGAACAAAACACTTTTTCGTAGTCATAATATTTATAAAAAGTACAAAATTAAACACTCAAATTCCAAATAAATTCTTGATCGAGACACTATGATGACAGATGTCATACACAGTGCTGCCATTTTGCCATTTTCTGAATTATTAAGTGACTTTTAAAACAATGAAACGTTAAATATGGTAAAAGTTTAAACAGAAATAATACTTTCAAAACACATTTGATATTATATATTTAAAAGATATTTGTTTAACGATGTTTTAGAAGTCTAAAAGTAAGAAGGAGTACACAAACGAACGTACATCACTTCTCGTAAACCTTCTAGCCGGCAACGTTGTGCGCTAGCTCCTATTGGTCTATTCCCGGTGACGTCATAAATTTTAAAAAAAATCATAACTCCGGCAAATGAATAGATAAAAAAAAAATAAAAAAAATGTAGTTTTATTT